TTCAAATTATAAAAACAAGAGAGAAAAGTGCGACGACTAAAATCGTGGATATTATGAGAAGGGCTGTATGATGACAGTGATAAATAAATACTATAACTCGGAATTCCACTGCCTGAAATTTGTTTTCGTTTCATTGAAACTGTCGCTCCTGTCTTCCTGATATCAGTTTCGGCTTCTGCTCTCCTATGTACTTTGTACCTGGACATCTGTGGAAACGGAAAACATGAGTCCGAAAAATAATGTGTATTCTATACAAAATTTATTTATATGACCTTAATAGTGGAAGGACAAACATGAGCTGTCTTCGATGTAAAACATTTTCATGGATGGAGCACAATGAAAAAAAAACGTCCTTAACAAAGAGTCTTCTTAGTAATTGATGTTTTTTAGAACATTTAATGAGAGAGAGAGAGAGAGAGAGAGAGAGAGAGAGAACGAGATCATCGAGAGAGTGTATACGTGTTTGTAAAGAAAACGTGAGATTGTATATCTTCCGAGTTGTTTAGTTTAACACGTTGCAAGCGTAATGTAATACTCTTACAACGCTAGGTATCTGTTACGTGATCGGACATAACGTTAAACAACATTATAAATGATGATGATAATAATAACATTTTTTAAAAAGTACTGCAGTTCTTTTATTTGTTTAGATGTGTGTTCTGTAGAACTTCCCTGTACGTTTCTGTCGCTACACAGGAATCGGTAAAGTGATGCTTCATAAAAACGGCTAAACTTGTAAAATCAATTAAAATGTGTTCGAGTATTTTACGATGGTTACATAGGATCGATGCTTCTCAATGAATCGTGTTACCAATTAGGCCTACCAGTCATTATAATAAATATAGTAGGACCTGAGCTATTCGATCTATTTTTGAAAACAATTTTCAAATTTCGCGCACTCTCGTGACGCAATTAGATCCCCGGTCGTTTGACGGAAGTTGGCAGTATATTCGAATACGAAGCACGCGGACGCGAAATCCAAACGATCCAAAAAGTGTGTTCTACTATATTTATAAAACGCGATCATTGAAAAACATTGAGCACGCTGCTTAAGAGGTTAGACTACCGTGAGTATGCAGACAGATTGAAAATTCTTGCTTAAACGATAGTTCGAAGCTTCTATATAATTAAATATAGAAAGTTAAGAGAAACACTTTGACGAGGTTCGTAATCATCTTGGCTCAACGAATGCAATTGTTTTTAATTTAAATAAAATGCAAAATCTCTTAATCAAATATTTTTGCTTTTTTTTTGTAGACCGCAATTTCGTAGACACTTGAAAATTGCCCACTTTATCGGACGGTTACAGTAGTCTAACCCTTTAAGGGGTTAAGATTACGGAGAAATTGACCCCGTTGCTAGATCGGTGAACACGATCGGTATATCAGACGCAATTTAAGTGCCGTCCGTGGAGTTCGTGCGGTTCAACAGATAATCAAGATCATGAGAGATTCGATCCAGCATACCGCTTGATGTGGCCTCGCAATTCGTGACCACGATCTCCGGCGCTTTTTCTTCTCCGTCAGGTTGTTTGCGCTCCGTCGTGTTCGCTATATCGGGAATAACATTAACGTGTTCTCTAGTCTTCAGTTCGCTGGTAGGCAATGTCTCAACGTCGTTCTTAACGGCCAAAGTAACGTCCGGCATGCCGGTCAGACGAGACTCGACGTCGGCGCTGCACAAAACCTTCGCCGAGGCTTCCGGCGCGGGATTGTGAGGTACGAAGATCTGCTGGCTCTGCGGCTCGCCGCCGCGATATTTCCCATAATCCCGAAAGGTGCAGCACTCGCTGCCGCTGTAAGATTCGCTCACGCAACGGGACGCACGCGGTGAGAACATGGCGTCGAACGCAATGGTCTCCTGGTACTTTCGCGGGCTGGTGCTGTAATTTTCTAGATTTATGTCGTCGGAATGGTCGATGTGTATCTCCGGCAAAAACCGGTTAGCGACAGGGACGGAAGGTTTCGAGTACGAGGACGACGTCTCGTTCACGAACTCGCGCATGTCTATGCTACCAGCTGCGATTCCTCGAGCTTCTATGTAGGACTCTCCCAAGCCCAAGGACGACGGAGGGGGCGCCGTGTCGTTCTCCACCTCTGCGGCGCTCTTTGAGCACACTGGCCAAAGTTCAAACAAATTTCATCTCTAATAAGATATTTAATTTGTGCAGCCTAGGTTCCCAGTTGATATTCTTTCTGGTTTCTGAGCATCAGCCATGTTTCATTTAGAAGTACTATAAGTAGTTCCATGATTATAAGGTAAGCACACAACACTTCAATCTTTAGATATAATATATCTTAGAGTATATTTCTTAAATGCTTATATTGTGAAATTTAAGGGAGAAGAAAGACCGACACACTTAACATATTATGACCTTGATTTGGAAAATCCTAGAAGACTCTCCAAAAGGAACATGACTAGTACTTGGAAACATCAAACATCGACTACAGGAACCCAGTTTTAGTTCAACGTACTGTTCAACCTGTTTGTAGCCCGCTTTCATGAGATACCTTTAATTGGCTCAGATGTAATCTCCTCCTCTGTGCTCTGTTTCCATGTCAGTTTCTTCAGGATCGTATCGACAATTGACAACTCACCGCTCACGATGTAGACCATTATTATAACGAATCCCTTGAAGCACACAGATCACGTAGAGCTAATAATAGCTGGTGCTAGGATTGTCGGCTTGAAGTGCTTACCAGAACAGAGGATAGAGACGCGAATACATAGTGGAAGATGATAGAGGTGGAGTTTATGTAGAAGATAGAGGACGCTTCTATAGAGATTACGCCGCAAATGACAATGGCCGCTCGATGAAGCATTCGTAGTCTGAAGAAAAAGAAGCATCTTAATACTCGTGAAATTATGTGAACATTCGACAAGCGTAACTGCCGCTATACCTCGCTTCTATTGCTTCTTTCTTCATAACGTTCTCCCCGACCAGAGTATGCGCTTTATGTAAAATACCTAAATATAGTAATACAAATATCAGAAACATCACGGTAGCACAAGTAACAAATATATTGTAAACTCCGCTGCCGAAGATCAGCCACCAGGACTCGTGTCTCCATCTCGTACTTTTGTGCGTGAGTTCGGTGGTTAGCACGGCTAAGATAGGGACACCTGCATCATACCAGATTATCGTGTTACAGTTCAAGTTCACTCTGGAATTTAGTTCTTGTTAAAACACGTTTAAATCTACCGGTAATAACTGCGATAACTGTTGGCTGAAAGTGCTGACTGGGTCGAACTTGCGTCAATCCGGCATAGATAATCAACGCTTCCGATATGGGTGCAGACATGCCGACGAGAAGGAAAGCTTCTAGAGCTATCGCCACGATAGCATACGAGCTCTGAAATTGAATGACGCATTTTGTATGAACGACACGAAATTCTTAGGATGTCGAAGCGTCCCAAGTACCTCGGGCAAATTGTTGTGCACAGCGTATATGAAGACAGCCATTGCTCCTACTAAAGCACTGCAGCACTGCAGTTTCAAGAAGTTCAACCAATCTCTATGTTTCCACCAGAAAGTGCCAAGAATTAGGGAAGACAAGAAACATTGAACCAAACAGCTGCCACATCCGAATATGACAATGAACGTAGTCTGCTCCTTCTTTGCTAACACTACTCTCACCGCGCGTGCTGTTAGAAAAATCGCATAGGTCCCGGTGTTAGGACACAAGCAATGAGTGGTAGCATCTCCTGGCACAGTGTTGACTATACAACTATTTAGATCCCAGCTGCCCGCATTTTCCAAAAGACCACAAGACACGTTCCAAGCATTGGACTGGTTCTGGATGTGTCTCATCTGTAGATCTACCCATATTTTGTTGTGTTTATCCGGACTGAAACCTGGTACCACAACCACGACCACTCGAGAATTGATACGAAATTCGAGATCAGTACCGTCGCTATAAGAATTAAACATTCGCGTTAATAAAATAAACAGTCGCTGCACTCTTCGAGTTACTCGATTCACTCACTCTAGTTCCTTAACGTAAGTAGTTGGAAGAAACTGTGCCATGTTTTTGTAGACCACCACGATTCCATTAAGACTGTTGTTTGACTTCAGGTTTCTCTGTCTCTTTTTCCACAATCTTATGGTCACCTTGTCGTCGTACCAACTTGGATACCTAAGAAGAAAAGAATCGTATCAAGAGGAAATCTATAATCTCTTGCAGGTGATAATTACATGGAATCGTCGATTGGGATCTGAAGCGAATGCGTGATACTGTCGCCATTGTGTTGCTGCAGCTCTTGAACGTCCACCGCCAAAGAAGACATGGACAGATGTTTGTAAGGTTCACTGGCTACTTTCGACCACTGTACCAAGCTTCGTTGCGTCATTTGGAGGAGCAGCAGAACTTTCTAGAAATTGTTAACGGATAATATATTTTTGTCCGTCGATTTATCAGGATCACCTTACCTGTTGGCTCAAGATCGAATTTTCATCATTAAGTATTCGACTGATAATTCGTATCAGAGCCTCTGTCGAGGCGTGTAGGTCTAATGGGTCAACATTATCCTGATAACGTTCTATTTCCGCCAGTATGCCCAATATACGATCCCCCTCGCCAGGGTAGAGCGGCAGTGCACGTGATCGTAAAATTTCCCTAAAGGCTATAATTGTCTCTGATCCTGTGGTGTTCTGATAACCCAGCGTGAGGCTCTTGAACTGCGCACATTGGAGCAGAGAAAACACAGTCATTTTCACCGATAAATTAGCAAAGTTAAGTATAGGTCATAGTACCTTGTTATACTGAGCGGTGAACGGTTCATATAGACAATGAGAAAAGTCTGGTGTCTGCCATTCAGGCGTCGTAGCGTCCTTCATGGAGCACAGTCTGGACACTTTGTCGCCAACGAAATGCTGCGGACATTCCAGCAGTGCCTCGGATCCAGGAGCTGTACCCGGCCAAGTTAGGTCCTGAGATTTGCCTTTCCGACAAACTGGTATGAGCGTCCTGTTAACTATTTCAACTCTAACGGACATGGACTTATCCGCCACGTTACAGGTGTATATGGCAGATTTCTGGAACGAGGAGACAACGATAAAGTGAAACAAGGAGATCGTATCGGACGAGCGTCCACAAATGTACCTGTGCATTTGTGATTTTCAATATGCTTCCTGCGGGATGGAGATCCTCCCAGACTTCGCTGCCGAGTTCCAGCTTCAGCAATGCCCTGTTTTTCGTCCAACCGAATCCTATCCCTATATTGGGCATATTAGGTGTCATGCATGTCAACTGGGTGCTGCCTCCCTAAAACAACGGGAACAGTTAGCAAATCAATTTAGGGGAATTGGTATCGAGTTACCTTGTCTATGGTAGCACTCATGGGCATCACTTTGACGTTGGGCTCGTCCCTTACGTCAACGTAGATGCTTTTACACTGTTGTACACCCCATTCGACAACTTGGCAAGTGTATTGACCTGCGTCAAGCATAGTCGCTTTCTCAATGATCAACAATGATGTGTGAAGGTCCGAACCATCATTTGGAAGGTGCTTGTACCGAATATTCCTGATGGACAATCATAAACAGAACAGTAATATTACCGTTTCATTATGCCCTTGGAAAAGAGAATTATCCTCGGGTCCCTAGCCTGAGTTATTTATGAACTCATTATTTAAAAGGTTCGGGCCCTCTAGGGACCAAACCTTTCAAGGGACGGTATGAAACTACACTTTCTCTTACCTGGTAGCTTTGCTCGTATTCACCACCATGTTGTCCTTGTACCAGGTGAAATTAATGTTGTAACTGCCCTGAGCTATACAAGATAGAGAGATCTCATCCCCAAGATGAACTTCATGCTCGTTCGCCTGATTCAGGCGAAGACTCTGAGGAAAGGTAATTGTGGAATGATGGTAATTCGCGAGGATGAAACGGTAGAAAGTTGCAACGAAAGTCGCATTATCGTATGGATAACTCAATGAACGAATACCTTCAGTCTCAGAGCCGGTTTCTGCTGAAAAGTGAAGTGAGTCGACTCGAGAGAAATCTCGCTTAGACGCCGACGCTGCACCAGCCTGTTGAGAGACTCGCGAATCCTGTCGCCATCCTCCGAGTTCCCGAAGAAATGGAAAGTGATCTCGGACGTGGGTCTACATAATTAATTCATTAATCGACCATCTACTTTTACCTCGCTCCATTGCTACACGAATCGTTCTAATTCAGTTCAACGCAGACGTTGAACCATCGTTAAGCGATAATTGACCTTTTTATTGTTTAATGTACCTACTCACGTCACGCTCAGGATTTTTAAATCCTCCATAGACGAGATATTCGAGTTCCTCAAGTACTTCGTAAGCTGCGAATAAATCAAAACAAGAAGTTCTAGTTAACGCTTCTTGCACGGAAAATGGAGAGGGACATAATAATGGGTGTAACGACGAGAGCACATTGCTGTTTCGAACAATAATTTTTATTTCCATAAAAAGGAGTACAATGAAAATTATTTCATGACGGATTCAAATGACTCTGCGTCGGCCTCCTTGCGTCGACCGCGGACATTATCTTGGACTAGAACGGCGGAAGGATACGAGCGAACAACAGAGTCACGTTCGTTGATTACAAATACACGATTACAAAATAATCGAGTTACAATATAGTTTCTGCAGCATCGTCGATTACAAAAATAAACTCCAATCGAATCCTCCTATGAAAAATTACAGTAATCTGTTGCGCGTGCACTCACACACATGTGACTTCGAGCAGCCACAGTCGCTCTGGACAATGTTAAACGGCGAGATAATATTGCCTGTCCGAGTTTCGTAATTCGTTACATTTCGCACTGTATAGGATACCGTAGATTGTCCACCAGTAGACAATTGACGTGGCGTCCAACGCGACGTTCACAGCGATCGATATTTATCGCGAGCTGTGCAGATATCCTTGTTATCTCAAGAGCGCTAATTATCGTCTGTTATCAAATGGGCTCTTTTTTTTTGTTTAACGATCAATCAGTCCGCTAACACTTGTCGGCGGAGAATCGATCAGAAATTCTGCCGTAGGTCCAACGGTGTTCGTCAACTGCCATTTTTTGAAAATGATCACGTGACCGACTCCAGTCGAGATTATAGCGGAAGCTTCCCAAGCGATCCGTGTTTTCACTCCGGGGGATCGAGGAAATATGGATCGTCGTTGGAGATTAGCACGCAGGACAGGTCGCAGCTTCCCGGGCACAGATGATCCCTTATCCTTTCTCTGGACACCCGTAAGACCTTGATGCCAGTCTCGCGACAATAGGCCTCCAGCAGAATCATTTGCAGGTGGCTGGCGGAGTCCATATCTGTGTCGAATGGCACCAGGCAGATGGTGCCCTGGCTGTTCTCGCATTCTTTGGACGCCAAGGCTCGTAAAGTGGGCAGCATGCCGCAGGTGATGGTCCCTCTGGGGCATCTAGATTCTTTCTTGTCCGCCCACAGCGATCCGCTAAAAATTCAATCGACAAATCAGTTCGGTCGATCGTCTCGCAGATAAGAATTATCGGTAAAATAATATCTAACAATCCCGATTACAATTTCCGTCCGATTGGGCAACGATCGTAGCACGGTGTAATCAGAATTATCGCTGAAGTAACGTGACCAGTTCATCCGATTGCAATCTAACCTCTTAATCTCCGTGCTTCTCGAGTGTACTTCGAAGTCGCGAAGGTAAATACAACACGGTTTACATTGTGACATGGCGTAACGTAATGCAACAGTTTGAGCCGTTCAAAGGTAACTTTAACTCTTAATTGTGTTCGATTGATAAATTTATAAATTGGTAAATTTCTTTGATAGCGAGACTTAACCCGGTAAGATAGAAAAATTGAAAATTGTAGAAAATTTGAAAAAACATCAATTTTCTATACGTTGATTCTACTAACATTTTTTTGTATAATCGACAGAAGAACTGATCACATTCCCGGCGAGAAAGCTAATCTAATGCGCGCGTGTTTAAAATTCTGATGCTCGTACCTCTCGGCCATCGCGGCGGATCCGTAGGAATGCAGGCTTTGGCAGCGTGTCATACTCGTGAGTATCTCTTCTTCTTCGGCTTTTCTCGTACTACAACCCGGCGTTCCTCGTTTGCACACTTCACTGAATGTAGGAATTTTTCCGGCTGTGATTGCCAGTGTATCACGAGAATTGCACTCGTCGCCGATTGTTCGTTCCACTGATTCACTAAAATGCTTCTTTTCTTGTGTCAACTGATAGGCACACGGTCCGCTTACGCAACAACGATAAACTTCTCCCCGTGTTCCTTGCGAATTGCCTTTGGATGGGGCTCTACACCGACGTACGGTTTTCGTTCTGCAGAGCTCCGAAAGCGAGTGACGGCGAGGTCTGGAGCGCGCTCCTTTTATACGTGCGCTTCCTCCACCACGGTTCCCGCGAGCCAGCGCGCGCAGTTACAGATAAAGCGTGGCGCGAGCTTTTCCGTGTACACACACACATACACGCGCATACACACACAGGAGCTTTTTATCGACGCTACGAAAAGCTTTACCGAGAAACGGAGTTACACGAACAACCAAAGCTTCCTGGTACTTCTTCGAGCGAAGTTCCCAACATTTCTGTATGTCCGACCGTTTTTAATGATCGGCTCGAATGCTGGCTTAATTCCTGACGGTTGAAGCAGTTAATGTTGCTACGTTTTAAAATGCCAAGGACTCGGAACCTTGCGGGTTCAACGAGTATAATATCTTTCCTATTTTATTTTTTAGAGAAACTTTCGTCCAATGAATTCGAATTTTCTTTTCTCGTGGACTCTGAATCCGAGAACCCGGTTTCCTTCGTTGTCATCGGTTCCCGAAAAATACATCGCTGAGAAGAAAATCGAAGCTTCAACCTCGCGTGAATATTTAAAATATTATATTAATATTTAAAATATTATGTTAATATTTAAAATATTATAATATTCTACAAAAATTATCTATCGGTTACCGTGTTATTGTTCTATGTCAGGGCATCCGATCGGGAAAAAATCAATGATAGTTTCTCTCGATGCAGGTTCCGATAAATCGCATCGGGGGAAAATGGAACACAGCGTAAACACCATTAGCCTTGCGTCGCTATCACCGATCGCGGTTCTATCTAACTAAGCGGTCCGCGGATCGAGAGGAATTCCAACGCGCTCTGCAAGAAGCTTTCCACGTCATGGCTACCGATTCCGTTGCGGGCATACGTCCACCTTAGAAGGCGTTGTAGGGAGATAGTGGCCGGGTCAGGGACTTCCCGTAACGTGTGCAAACGCCTGAGCCTGTTGCGAAAGAGACGGATCAAGAGAGAGAAAAAGGGAAGAGATATAGTTAGCAGAGAGAGCGTAAAGGAAGACGGTCGCATGACATAGCAATTCTCTCGAAGCAGACGGATTTCTTTGTAAGTGGGACGATGTGCCTGCATACCCCCGAATCTTGGAGAGAGTCCAGAAAGTTCTGTCCTAGCTTTTGTCTCCAGGAACTCTAAATTGCGGCCCGGTTTATGGCGTTGTAAATGAAACGAGGTACCTCTCGCAGCTTCGGTTTTAAGGACGTTCTACCCTACGGTATCCTTAACTAATTTAGCAGGCCACTGCGCGAAGCGTTGACTCGAGTAGGAACACGTTTTGTTGCCTCGAAAGCGGAACGAAATATGCCTATCTACCGATGATCGAAGAACATTTTGTCCAAGCAAGTTGCATTTCAGCCACCGAAGATCATTGTAACTAGACACACAACAAAGCGACTATAATTCGCAAGACGGATCGATAGCACGTGTCGGTGCTCGGACATAGCTCTGTGTACCGAGCCATGATGCAAGCACCGATGTCTCGGACCGTTCGGTTTCATCAGCCCCGGCGAACGAGCAGGTTGCGCTGATAACCGAGCACAGAAATCAACCCAGAAATCGCTGATCATTGTGGGAATCGTGAAAACTTGATATTACGCATCTGTGCTTCCTCCCTTTATCTTTTGTACATACAGATACAGCGAATTTGTACCGGCTGACATATAGGGAGAACGTTCCGTCCCTTTTCGCCTGACGCAATCACCGAGGTTCCCGTCCATCTTTGCGACGATAACAACAATAATAATAATAACAATAATGTTACCGACAAACGAACCCCGCAGCAAAGGACAGACCAGGACCTATAATTAAATCCGGCTACTCATGTAACGAACCGCCGTAACGGTTCTATTTTAGCGACGACACACACTGGAAAGTTAATTCGTTGCGTAACAGATCCTCCGACCGTTTTATAATGACGGGCTAATGGGCCTTTTCGAATCCAGGGGATCCTGAGCGTTCGAGGAACGAACACTTTCGATCGTACTTTTGCGGTATGCGTATCGGCGCATCGGTCTGAGATATGCAGTTACGGCTAAGCGAAAGTCAAGGAATAATGTGTTTGTCAACATGCTTGTTTTTCCTTATGGAAATACATACTACGGATGAATACGTTCAGCAGAATCCGAGCTAAATCTTTCCTGGTCGAGACAGGTTTTTCTTTATGCCGGTGTCTGAGATACTGATTTTCGTAGGAATTATGTTCGATTAGATGTTAGTCGAAAACTCTGTTTCAATTATCTACTTTCCTGTCCTCTAGGTGTTATGCAAGTCTTTGGAGGATAAATAGCAGCGATTAGAGTGGATCGAGCCTTGCTCGGTCAGCAACCTTGTTCTGCAAGCTGCCGTGCGTCGCGCCTGCCACAGGGAATCCCCGTGTCCATAGGCAAGAGGAAACTGGATATCGGGTGTGTTACCTTGAGATTATGCTGCGCAAAGGATGATACTGTGTATCCGACCGACTAAAAATACCGGCGGGACGCGTTCGCGACCAGGCCTCTCGTTGTGATCGCGATGCACCCGTTGGAATTTTCTCCTTGCAACAAATTTTTTTTTCATTCTGTTATCCGAAAGTACATCGGTGAAAGGCGCCCAGCACTCGCCGAATTCTTCTCGGAAATCGTTGAACAATGGACATCGAAACTATCGCTCTTGTGTAATACGTTTTCCTCGGAAACGATAAGATTATGCAAGAAAGCAACACCTTTTTTGTAGAACTTATTTAAAGATCGCTGATTCCGACGCCGATAAAATAGGCATTTAATCGGCTCAGTTAAACCTCCGTTGTTTCCAATTTAAAGCGATCGATCGAATAACCGTAAAATTCCACGGCAGACCCCGCATATTCCGAGGGCGGAATATTTGTTGATTTAACTGAAAGATTACTTCCAGAATGAACTTCGACACATTTCGTGTCTGCCGAACGCGATTCCCGCGTTCAGAGTTCCAACAAAATTATGTTCGTAATTTCGTGCACGTACAACTACGAGCGATCTATAGATAGTTGATTCTGCAGTAGTAAATGTTGCACAATTTTACGACACGCTGCATATAAGATCATTCGGTCAAGTTATATGTAAACGAGCCCCGGTATCTCGAAGAGTCTATAAATCTTGGTTCAGTGACCCTGACATACGCATCGATCATCATTTCGCTGGCAGACATTTGAACGAATTTCACGGATTCGACGCGAAATTATTGTACAATTGTACGCAAGGTTCGATTCGCGGAACCTCCTTGGCAAACAATTCGTCGCGTTATATGGCGCAATTCGCCGCGCACACAGCCTTTTTAATCAGATGTTCGTTCGGCGTATCGGGCGCACAAAGAAGAAGACAGCGAAATTATCTTATCGGCGCCAACTCTTTGGGAAAGGAAAAAAAAAATTGGAATTCATCATTATCTACTCGTAAGATTGCGACTTCTGATATCATTCCGGGAAGACGTCGCCTTATCTGGGATTATGTCGGCGAAACGATAGTTTCGATTTGTTCTCGCTGAGAAACGGGAATTAGTATCTAAATAAAAATACTCGATTTTCCCCAGTTAATCGATCGGTCGCGGCCGCCTGCTGATAGTGCACGGGGAAGTACGTACAAAAGAGGAAAGGAATAAAAATTATTCTTTTCCCTCTGGGAATTATTCCTGGATGATATCTCTCGCCGCTTATCGCCGCGAGATTTTATCGGTTTTTAACATACACAAACGAGCGTCGCCACTTGGACGGTTGGAAACATTGTGTGAAAATTGTGCAACAACTTCGGAAGAGATCTACTTTAGGAAGTAGATCTCTGCGTCGTGCGTCGAATGTTCAGCTCGATTATTTACCCGAGAAACATGGAATCGAGACGAGAGAAAGACACTGGAAATTAGGTCACCGTTCGGAAATTTTTCTCGAGGAAACTGTACAGTTTTTCCGAATCGTTCAGGATACATTACGTCACTATTAGAGTAACAAGAGCTAATTTTTTTTACAACAATGCGACATCGATGCAAAGAAATAAGAATGAGAAACGTAGATCCGATGGCTACTTCAAAATGTTCCGAAACGCAAAACCGCTGATCCCGATCGATTCCCGGTATCTCGATCCATCAAGTATTTGCGTCGATTGTCGGTCTATATTTAGATCGCTTCCTGAAACCGACCTCCTTATAGAAACGCTTTGTTTAGGCTGCCGTGCGATCGCGGGAGGAACGTTAATATTCCGCGGAGGCGGAACATGGCGAACATCTGGAGGACTTGGTACCGCGTCACTGGCACTCGGCGCATTCCTCGGGGATGCATTCTTGAACCCGAGGTGGCCCAAGCGATTTTAGGCAACACGGAGATCTCGAGGAGCCATATGACGCCGGAAATCAAGCTGTTCCTCCTGACGCCGAACTGCGATCTCTATCACGCCCCGTTCTCCAGCGTTTCGGAGGCGAATGAGACAAAGAAACGCGTCTTCTCCGAGCCTTTCTGGTCCATTTACTGGCCAGGTGGACAGGCTTTAACGAGGTTCATCTTGGACGAGGGGAAGAACGTCATTTCGACGTCGGAGAAAAGCGTCTTGGATCTTGGCACTGGCTGCGGAGCCGCTGCCATTGCCGCGAAACTTGTTGGCGCGAAAACGGTACTTGCGAACGATATAGACAAAGGTAAAGGATTTGCGAAATCCTCTGATTATTTCTATTCTGTTTTTAGTCCCTGTATTCGTTGAAATTACAACCGTGATATATTTTTTTGTTCGCCAGCCATACCTCTTCTTTAACACGTTGAGTGCGGCGTCAGCCCCTAAGAGTTGACAGTGAATTTTCCGTTTGGCCGATGTCAATCCTCTTGCACTGACAGTGTACACATTTCTTTTTTTTTTTTGGTCGGTGCCAGTTCCCAGGGACGGACAGCGAACCTATCGTTCGGACGGCATCGACGCACGGGACCGGCAGCATCAAGGTTAAAACATAATGCCGGCCTGCCGCTTCAACGGAAAACCCAACAAAATCGGCTCCGTGCTCAACGTGTTAATGGACTGTCCATAAACCCTAATTTTCACTATACAGTAAATTCTCCCTAATTGAGCAGACACACACAAATATTGCACACAAATACGGTTGTTTTTATTATTATCGGTTGTAAATAGCTATAGAAACCAACTGCAAGGCTCGAATAATCGTATTTTCTCTTTTCAAATGATCCATTCTTGTTTCCAAGCTGAAAATCAATTAGGAAGCACTTAGTGTACCTTTTTTTCTCATCGTTCTCCTCTTCATAAATTGTCCATTCTTGTTTCCAAGCTGAAAATCAATTAGGAAGCACTTAGTGTACCTTTTTTTCTCATCGTTCTCCTCTTCATAAATTGTCCATTCTTGTTTCCAAGCTGAAAATCAATTAGGAAGCACTTAGTGTACCTTTTTTTCTCATCGTTCTCCTCTTCATAAATTGTCCATTCTTGTTTCCAAGCTGAAAATCAATTAGGAAGCACTTAGTGTACCTTTTTTTCTCATCGTTCTCCTCTTCATAAATTGTCCATTCTTGTTTCCAAGCTGAAAATCAATTAGGAAGCACTTAGTGTACCTTTTTTTCTCATCGTTCTCCTCTTCATAAATTGTCCATTCTTGTTTCCAAGCTGAAAATCAATTAGGAAGCACTTAGTGTACCTTTTTTTCTCATCGTTCTCCTCTTCATAAATTGTCCATTCTTGTTTCCAAGCTGAAAATCAATTAGGAAGCACTTAGTGTACCTTTTTTTCTCATCGTTCTCCTCTTCATAAATTGTCCATTCTTGTTTCCAAGCTGAAAATCAATTAGGAAGCACTTAGTGTACCTTTTTTTCTCATCGTTCTCCTCTTCATAAATTGTCCATTCTTGTTTCCAAGCTGAAAATCAATTAGGAAGCACTTAGTGTACCTTTTTTTCTCATCGTTCTCCTCTTCATAAATTGTCCATTCTTGTTTCCAAGCTGAAAATCAATTAGGAAGCACTTAGTGTACCTTTTTTTCTCATCGTTCTCCTCTTCATAAATTGTCCATTCTTGTTTCCAAGCTGAAAATCAATTAGGAAGCACTTAGTGTACCTTTTTTTCTCATCGTTCTCCTCTTCATAAATTGTCCATTCTTGTTTCCAAGCTGAAAATCAATTAGGAAGCACTTAGTGTACCTTTTTTTCTCATCGTTCTCCTCTTCATAAATTGTCCATTCTTGTTTCCAAGCTGAAAATCAATTAGGAAGCACTTAGTGTACCTTTTTTTCTCATCGTTCTCCTCTTCATAAATTGTCCATTCTTGTTTCCAAGCTGAAAATCAATTAGGAAGCACTTAGTGTACCTTTTTTTCTCATCGTTCTCCTCTTCATAAATTGTCCATTCTTGTTTCCAAGCTGAAAATCAATTAGGAAGCACTTAGTGTACCTTTTTTTCTCATCGTTCTCCTCTTCATAAATTGTCCATTCTTGTTTCCAAGCTGAAAATCAATTAGGAAGCACTTAGTGTACCTTTTTTTCTCATCGTTCTCCTCTTCATAAATTGTCCATTCTTGTTTCCAAGCTGAAAATCAATTAGGAAGCACTTAGTGTACCTTTTTTTCTCATCGTTCTCCTCTTCATAAATTGTCCATTCTTGTTTCCAAGCTGAAAATCAATTAGGAAGCACTTAGTGTACCTTTTTTTCTCATCGTTCTCCTCTTCATAAATTGTCCATTCTTGTTTCCAAGCTGAAAATCAATTAGGAAGCACTTAGTGTACCTTTTTTTCTCATCGTTCTCCTCTTCATAAATTGTCCATTCTTGTTTCCAAGCTGAAAATCAATTAGGAAGCACTTAGTGTACCTTTTTTTCTCATCGTTCTCCTCTTCATAAATTGTCCATTCTTGTTTCCAAGCTGAAAATCAATTAGGAAGCACTTAGTGTACCTTTTTTTCTCATCGTTCTCCTCTTCATAAATTGTCCATTCTTGTTTCCAAGCTGAAAATCAATTAGGAAGCACTTAGTGTACCTTTTTTTCTCATCGTTCTCCTCTTCATAAATTGTCCATTCTTGTTTCCAAGCTGAAAATCAATTAGGAAGCACTTAGTGTACCTTTTTTTCTCATCGTTCTCCTCTTCATAAATTGTCCATTCTTGTTTCCAAGCTGAAAATCAATTAGGAAGCACTTAGTGTACCTTTTTTTCTCATCGTTCTCCTCTTCATAAATTGTCCATTCTTGTTTCCAAGCTGAAAATCAATTAGGAAGCACTTAGTGTACCTTTTTTTCTCATCGTTCTCCTCTTCATAAATTGTCCATTCTTGTTTCCAAGCTGAATGTCGATTAGGGAGAATTTATTGCACCTCTATCTCTCCTATTGTACCTTCCCTATTCCTACAACCATTACCTAGTTGGTATTACCCACGTAGGACCTATGGATGTATAACTTTCACCTAAGTCATTTACGCACGTCTCCATTAAGCCTGCAAAATCGTGTTCCTCCGAATAATGACAATATTAACATTCCCGACAGCTGGGCCCGATCCTTGAAACATTGCTACCTGGAATATCGTTGAAGAGGGACCCTGCAAGCCGGACGGTGGCCGTTTACCTGCGTGGCCGTTTACCAAGTTTCATTTACCTGACGTCAATTCCACGGCCCCGCGGTATTCCCACCGGTTTGTCCGGGCTGTATCGGGTTCATTCGAAGCGGAGCCGGTTCTTCATCGGCGCGATTCCCCTTCTCGCGACTCCGGGAAGTTCCAGGCGCAATTGGGCCGCGTTGCAGTCGACGTAGGCGTTGCAGGCCGCAGCCGATCGTGATTGCGTAGTGGAAGTTGCGGCCGCAGACGTACCGAAGCAACGCGACAGCAACAGGATTTCTCTTTGCGGCGGTCTCGCGCGTAATCGAGCTGACGCGTTTTTCCATCTCCCTCGCAAAATTCATTCCGATTTGGCAATCCGAGTCAGCGTTCTTCCGTCGGACACGCAGCTAAAATTGTTCTTCGTCGAAACAAAAGCCGGTCGACGTACGCAGTTCCCGGCAATCCTACGTTTTCCTTGTCTTCCCGCGAAAACACGGATCGATAAAGAACCGCGAACCTTCGCGTGCCACCGCTCGTACGCGGAACTGGTTCCATTAATGAACTTCCACAACGCGGCATTCCACAACGTTGCGGTTCAACGGGTGCAATCCTTTCGCGCTTCGCCGAAACTGGGAGCATTTCCTGATAGCCGCTATCTTCCCGCGGAAACTCGTACATTCATACTATAAATAAAGCCCGTATCTTTCGTCGAAGGACGACGTGACGGAATGCCGCGCTGTCTTTCATTCAGCGTTGCTGTTCCCAAACGAATTCGCGAATCTGCGCCGGCAATTCGTCCTCTCTCGTTCTTCCCGATTCGAAACGGGCTCTCGGTTCGTGTCATAAAGGCATTCGTATTGGAATGCAATGCGCTGTTCAAGATAATCGAGAATGCGCTACTTGTAATCGCTACCTTTCGGATCAGTGGTTTGAAACAGGCGATCCTGCCGCGACTCTTTGTTCGTCCAAAATTCTGCTGTTGGTTCACTGTTAATTAGTACCTCGCTTTCCGTTTCCAAGTATATATATATATATATCTCGTTTTGTACTCGCACATTTCTGGTATATTTCCAATTTTTTTAAATTGGTGACAGGTTCATGTTTCATCCAGCATAGCAATCCACAGTTCCTTTGTCTGTCGGTTGTATCAAATGCTGTCAATGCTGCTCCGCTAAAAATACACATAATTCTCCCAACCGGAGACTCGTTTTGCAGTTGAAATCGTACGAGGCGATCGCATCGGGCGCTCGAAGAAAGTGAGAAATGTGGGCCAGGCCCAGCGGATTTTCCTGGTCCGGCAAATCTCGCGCGTCAGTGAAAGGCTGCTCGTTTCTGGCTAGATATGTACTGCGTTCGTTGCATTCTAAATTGATCGGCCGCTGACGCAGCGACGTTACGTCGCGCTTAATTAATCCTATCTCCGGCGACGGTCGCTGCGAATGCAACATTACCGGGACGCGGCTGTCGATGCGAACGAGACGATGCAACGAAAGAAATCTCTGGGCCGTAGCCAATCTTGCGAATTTCAAAAGCGTATATCTATTCGAACTGACTTTGTTTCTGACAAATTCACCGCATTTTTTGAACCTTTTCCAGGACGACCGTTCGACCGCGAGAAAACGAACTTTGGTCAAGAAAGGAGGCTCTTTGCCCTGCCGGGAAGGTTCAGGAATACCTTTTTGTCCCAAAAATTGTGGAATCGCGGATCCGCGGGATCGACGAGATCTAACGGGATCGACGTTCGAACTGATCTGACTCAATTGAAACGGGCACGAGCGAACGTGGCTCGAGTCGCGTGCTGAGAGGAATCGCGCCGATTGCATAATCCGATCTTCGTCGGTCTGCTGCGGGTGAAAGTGAACTTGAAGAGGCCGCGTGAGATACCGTCTAGCTGAACTGGTCCGTTCCTGTCCTCGCAGGAATTTTATTGCGAGACCTTGGCTCGGTTTGGTTCTCGTGAATCGGCTCGCGCACGAGCGAGCTCGGCGAGCACGCAAACTGGTCTCTAAACGAGTCCAAGAGTAGAGGAGAGTATAATTAAATCGTTCCTCTCCCATCGCGTCGCGGTCTCCGCTCGGTTTTCAGTCCGATGTTTACACCGATAACACGCCGAGTGCTTCGCCCGAAATTTCTTGATCGCGAGACCGGGATTTCCGTATCTTGAATTACAATTGAATACACACGCACACGTAGAATCATCTTCTCCGATCTCTCGCGTTTAAATCCACCATCGAATTGTCGCCGTTTCTCGAGCACTAGCTTTATCAAAAAGATCGAAAGACACGGCTTATCGAAATTGCTATTCTCAATGATTTTCTAAACATTGGAAGAATCGGTGGGTCAAATGCGAAACACCGAAGACGTGTAAAGACTTTCGACAAACTGTTACATTTTCATAATTTTCATCTCAGTAAATCTATTAAGAGCTAAATGAATTTTATTAAGTCTCGAATGAAATTTCTCAACTTCGCATGCCCGAGAGCCATTGTTTGGCTCATTGACCCTGCACGACTTTTGTCAAACTTTATCTTATCTTCGAATAATTAAGGCATGCGTTCCTGTCGGCGATTGCTTTCGCAGAAAAAGTGATAACCATCGATCGGATTAACGCCTCAGCGATATTGTCTCGCAATTGTGCCGGATCTCGAGTACCTGTTGTTGTATAGAATATTTTGTTTATAAATTGGCAAAACTCTGTGGAAACAGAACAAGGGGGGTCTGTAAACTGATTAGAGACCGCAAGGTTTCACCGTTCCTCGGGATTGTCGATGGGACAGATTGTCGACGGAAACTAACTCCGCATTATGTAAGAAGCTCGTTACCGTGATTACGCGTCGCCCGATTGACGCGTAACCGTGCGTCGGCGTTCGTTAACGGGGAATAAGGGAATTTGTTACAAAATCAACGTTATTGTTTGTAAACGGTCGGGAGCTCCCGATCCAACCGGTTTAATCGGGTGCAAGACGGCGTTTGTGAACCGGTTGCGAACCGATTCGGTTTGGTTGCCGGCCGAAACAATCAGGCCAATAGTCGCAATTAGTCCGCGGATCGTCATGTAAATGTTCGCATCCTCATAGATCATTTTACTCGATCCGAAGTGACAAGAAAATTCGTTTCGGTCTTGATGCGTTTGTAAAAAACAAGGCCGAAGTTTCTCTGCGAAGACGAATTGCATAAACATGCGCAAGCTTTTAACGACGCGGCGGCTGCGTTTTGCAATGCTAAGATCTCCGAAGTTGCGAACGATTATGCTAACGATTTTCGCTTCATCTTGCTTATTTATGGATGGCTGAAAACATTTTTTTACACGGATCGGTCCGAGCAGTTTTTCCTTCCGGACAGCCGGCACGCGCCGAGATTATTTATGATCCGGATCACGTGCGGGAATCTGACGCATGGACCCGTATCGTTTGATGCATTAACTCTCTGTGTACAGACGATCCTCTTAATCGTATGCCTGTGCTTTCAGTGGCGTGTGCGGCCGTTTCGATGAACGCGGCGTTGAACCACGTGGAGCTGCAGGTGTCGCAGGAGGATCTGTTGCAACGTTCAACATCCGAGAAGCTCGCGGACGTCATCCTCGTCGGGGACATGCTGTACGACGAGGAGATCGCCGTCCGTTTGATCCCCTGGCTCGAGAAAGCGCGGGAAAACGGGACTCGGATTTACCTGGGCGATCCAGGAAGACACGGTTTGACCGAGAACTTGAAGAAGAACTTGAAGTTACTCAAAAGATACTCGCTGCCGGAGAACGTCAGAAAGGAGAACCATGGCTATCAACAATGCGAGATCTGGGAATACCTCGGCTCGAAGAGAAACTAAACCATCGATTCTCTCGCAACGATTTGTAGATACATATTTTCCTCGCGTTCTTGCTATTCGAGATAACGTACGTTCGCAATTCTAGACGAATATTAAGTCATCGATGCGTGGATGACACGGCAGTAAAAGATCCGCGGGGCATTGCGCAATCGTTCACTGCTTGGACGACTCTGCGATGTTAACGCGTTACCGACGAGCGCGGTCGAATACCGCTATGAACCGTGAATCGTCGTCTACGAAATGCGTCGAGTGAATGCGCTGTTTATATTAAGTTCAATTAATACGTATTATATCGTTATTGCTACGGCTTATCGACGACGAGTCGCCGACTTCTCGGTGCACGGGTAGAATTTAAGAGATCCTAGAGCAATTGTCGATTGACTTTGTCCAAGAGAAAAAAGATATCTCGAAGACCGAAACCATGTACCTTGGGGTCAACGATAAATAGCAGAAGCGTGTCACCGGCTTGTCCAGCCGCGATCAGATCGCGCGGTTGTTCTCCGCTCGCTATAAACGCGCGATCGGGTTGCGTGATTAAATAATAGTCGCCCCGGTTTCCTTGTCGCACGGAGGCGCGTGCTCGCCTCGTAAACAGCCCGGTGGTCGGGCTCATGGCACAGAGAGACGAGAACGATTGCGAAAGAGATTCGCGATAACGCGTCACTGCGGACGATAGTATCGTCGCCTATCTGTGTCTGCGATACCGAATTCAAGATCACGATCTAGACGCATAACGGCTCCGCCTCTCTGTGCATGGAAACAGCAGATCTGCTGTTACCACTTTCCGGTGAGTCATCCGCGGACCGATAATCTTCGTCCGACCTCGGGCTTCGGCGATTAATTAGTCAGTGCACGGGTCGGGTTCGTGGAATCCGCGACGAAAGTCATCCTTGATCTTTCAAAATCTACGATAGCTCCGCGAACACATGGCGTCTTGTAAGATTCCACCCGTGCACCGTCAGGGTCACGTGCATTCGATCGATCCGTTCGATAGAAACGTAAAGTATAGCAGATATTATCCGATGATGCATTTATTCGAAGAAGACCGGGCAGACGGAACGCACGTGCATCTTATTTGTACGAGGATAGCGCTGGAACTTCCGCGATTCATCTATATGTATATTATATTGTAAGTCGAGTCTCGCTCACCTGTTTGCCGACATTGGCCTCGATGCTTTCCTGTTGCACCGCGGAGCCAGTCCTAAGCGAGGTCACGTTCGTCAATTTGATCCTGCACTCGTACCTCGATCGATCTGCGAAGAAGCAGATCGCCAGGCCGGTTAGCCAACGGAAAAGCCCGACACGGGGGTTAAAGAGTTGCAAGGAATGCGCAGGGCTCACTGTTATAGATCTTGGTTCCGTTCCTGCAGACGCACGGGGCCTCCCCCAAAGGGCACTGCATTATGCAATTCTCGGGTCCGCATTCTGCGAACAGGCAAGCATTGACCTCGTGAAGCGCCAGACCGACAGATCCTCCCGTCAATGAGTCACACGCGACGGCGTGCGCGAGTGTGACTCATTGAGAAATTATCTGAGCGATGCCGAGGAGCGTTTTACCAGCGTCCCAGGTGTCCATCAAGTGAATCTCGCACAGCCTGCCGACGTAGCCGTCCGGACAATGGCAGTTCATCGCCTTCGCTCCGATTTGCCTGCAATCCGTCAAGGAGACCGCGTCTCAAACATCTTCGAACGTAGCCAAACTCACCCCTTAAAAGGGTACTTCGACCATCGAGGCGATTTCCTCCGCGAGTAGAAGAATTTTAGCGCGCATTCGAATCGATTCGCGTTATCGAATTCCGCTTCGAAAGCACGCTCGCGATTCTTTCTTGCGGTCTCGGACGTATCGCCGGAGTCCGAACCGATCTCACGCGAGAAAATCGCGTTACTTTACCGAACCAGAAGAAACGGTGGTGGACTCCGAACGTGACCGGGCCGTCATTGTTCGCGTTACTTCGGCAAACATTGTTCACCTCCTTGAATGCAGTCCCATTTATCGCGGAAGAAAGGGGCGATTTTTATAGAGGGTCGAACAAAAGGATCGAAGAGGGCGATTTTTATGGAGACCCGAGCTTCCGGTTCGTGCGGGAGGAAGCGCGGCGACACGAGGCCGGGCTTCGCGTCCGACCTAGTTCCACTCTTTCGGAATAATTCCATCTGGTTATTGGTGCACGATGATTGTCATTAGTGTTCTCGAATCAATGGCGAACGAAATCCTGTTATTACGCAACGCGACCGACAAAGTAATCCGTCGCTGTTGCGACGCGAACCGTTGGAACGCGGACGATTCCCGGCGACGGAATCCTCGTGACGTGCGCAGACAGCGTGGCACGCGCACGATTAGGTCTTTAAATATACAATATTTTGGCACGCGCGCCTTCTTCGATCGCGTACGAACGGCTTAGGGTAGCTCGATTTAGTTTCGTGTTGGCGACTCGGACGACATTCTTGAGGACATTCGAGCGCGAGCGTGTTGCCCGCGGGTTAATAAACGGCACCGCGTTGTAAACGTTACTGAAAATAATTCTACTATCTGTCTCACCTGCAAGTTCCTCCGTTTTGGCACACGTGCTTGCGATCGTCGTCGAAGCACAGAGGTCCCTCGTTGCAGGTCTTTCCGTTGAAGTCCTCGAAGCAGTCGCACCAGAAATTACTGAGGGAACATGACCGTGTGGGTCTCGTTGCATTAATTAAATACAAATCCATTAAATAGGATTATCTCCCCTGTTCAACGATGACTCGTGGAAGAGACGGATAACAGGTTAATGAAATGCCCTAAACGGGTTCTCGTTCTTAGGCGGCACGTCGAGCCGTTGCTCGGTAACCATAAGAGGTGGAAAAGAAACCGCGAATTCTTCGGAAGCGTCGGCCATGAGTCAGCAAACTTTCCGCGGGCGAATACTATGTATAGTTTCGACATTCGGGCTGCTCGTGAAGAATGCAAACACGTGTTCCGGAGAGAAATGGGTCGCGTTCCGAGAAAACGAGAACCTCGATAACGGTGGCAACCAGATGAAGCGACGACGTGCCGGTCTAAGTCCTGATCGCGTGCGAGAAAATTGCTGGCTGCGGTGCTTAGGATTGCAGGTGGATACGCTAATTTGTCGACATCGATCTGCGAAGCGTTCGCTTTTTTTCACTGTACACAAATCTAACTGCAGAAAATGATTGATCAAGCGTGTACAGAAAACGAAGTCGCCAGAGACGAATAGACGTAAAAATTCTGTGGAACCGTCTCGGTCGTTCGGGGAACCAAATCCATGGTATTCGCCGTTTATAGATAAACATCTATGTGGGCCAACGAAACCAACGGCTCGCTTATTCGATTATGAATAGCGTAATGCTGTAACAACGTTCTCGTTGCGCGGTCTGATGAAAGAAACGCGGGTACATAAATGGAACAAGGTAAACAGAGAACATGGCGAAATACAAGATGGAAAGACGTAGGACTCACCTGTAGTCCGCAGACACCAGACAGTTGCCGGTGAAGGAGCAATGCTGCACGGAGCAGGAATCCGAATTCGGCTCGACCTCGGTCATCTGGTACGTGACGTTGAACCCGTATACGTCGAGAAGATCGTTTAACACACGCAAGTGATTCCCCTCCAGCCGGTCAAGCTCGAATTCCACGACGAGAAACGGCCGAAACGACCGTAACCACCTGAACTCGAACACATTCCATTCGGTGACCTCCTTGATCAACGCCGCGCCGTAGTTCATGCTCTCCGATTCATAATAAGCGTACTCGGTGAACCTGAGACCCTTGTACACGTACACCTGCCAGAAACAAAACGAAGAGATGCAAATCAAATGTTTTTCCGTTTTTAAGGGCAACGTTCGAGATCAAGGACGACCGAGTTGCGGAAGAGGGACACCGCCGGACTCGGTGTCCTTTGACGCGGAGCCTAGGCGAACATTTAGGGCGAGGACGCTTTCCCTGGACTCTCTAAGAGAAACGCTATGATCAAAGACCGAGGACAATCCATTTTTTTCTTTTTCTTTTTTTGACATTTCTCAAAGCTTCTGGTTTCTTTCGTTATCGCATCGACCAATTTTCTTTCTCGCACCTGGGTCAGATAGACGACGATCGAGCTGTTGGTGACCGGTATGTCGGACACGTCGATTACCCAGCGACACTTTATGGGAACCGGAAACGAGGCGGGAAAGTTCGGGGTCTGGATCACTCCCCTAGGTGCCGTCCGACGATCGCCGCAGGAAACTTCGGCTGAAGTGGAAGCTTCGATTAAGGTCAGACACCAGAGGGGCAGGAGGGAAACGCTGCTGGATACGGTGAACTTCATCTTCGTCGGATCGATCTGAAATCATCCATGAAATTCTGCTGCCCGGAGATCATTCTAAAGAAAGATTTATTCGCGAACGGTGCGCGAGCGACGTAGCGAGCCAGCGTAATTGAATCGAGAATCTCGCGTCTGTTGCGACGCACATAACGTAATCAGCGTTAATTGATTCTATATTCGATGATTAATGTTAACAATAGAGTATCGGGTCGCCAGCGACTTAATCCAGCGGACGGATACCCCGCTGCAATGTTTATCGCAAGCCAAGCGAGGACAGGATTAATCCACGTGGGAGTATAATCCCTGATTACACAAAGCAGCCGTTCCGCGAATAAGCTCGCCGCCCGATATTCGATTTATTTACATTCCTTCCGAAAGAAGCAGTCCGGTATTGCGCCGATTCCGTACGGAATTAGTCCCCCCGAGTAAACCTTTGGCTTTGTCGAGAATCCGGTGCCAATGACTCATTCGCATTGGCACACGTCTCGGAACAATCGCTCTCATAGATCAGAAATTCGACAATTTTCATCGATGTACTAGAATCTTTCCCCGCTCGAGCGCTATCAGCGTTGCAAACACGATCGAATAATTCCATATTTTCGAATTGTTCCTTCGCGAGAGACTCGATTCTCCGGCGCAATATAAACAAATCTCTCAAGCTCGAGCCGATATCGGTTGCTGGCGCCTCGCCGCGGCGTTTCAACCGCTAATTAAAACAGTACAGAAATTGCGCGAATGGGTTTTCTATGGGATCTCGCGGTCGGATGGCGACCCTTGCTTAGCTAACAACCCGAAAAAAAAACGGTTTCAGCTCCGTTCGCTCCAGTTCTGGGCTTACCTATACCCTACACCCCGTGTCGGCCGTTTACACACACTTCACTCCCGCACGGAAACAACACCCGGTGGGGGATGATCGCGTCGAATGGAGCTTACATCGAGCACCCGTGGACCCGAAGGGGTTCGAAGTCATAGTACCAGGCTGGGATTGGGGTGTACACTGTCGGTCTCGGGTTTCTAAGGGCGGCGAGGGCGAGCGCAGGGATAGCGACGATGCATTTTAATCGATCTTATCACGCGCGGCAGCCACGATTAAACGAACAGATCGGGAGAACGATCGCGGAGGGTTGTCGCGAACCAACCAACGAACGACCGAACCCGCGATCTGTCGGCAGGCTAGGCGTTAGCCTCTTCCACACGACTGATCTCTCAGCGCGCACCCTCAGTCCACCCCCTTGGCCTGCAAGGGGTGGGACACGCGGGTCACGGCGCTTCTCGCTGAGCAAAATCGTTTTGCACTGTCGTCGTCTTTGTCGCATACAGATTTTCGCGGTATTTATTTAGCACTGTCGATCCTTAAGCGAAAGCTTGAAATATTCAATGAATTAGCACGTGACTGTCAACTTTGCTGCGTAGTCGATCATCGACAGCAGACATTTAAATAAGGTCATCGTCGTGGCTGCAACAGTACACTTAAGGGTTAATGTTGTTCGTATCTATTCATGGGGGCTTTTATATGGTTTTATGTGACAGGTTTTGTCCGGTAATGATTGTTTTAATCAATGCACAGGGTGAATCGTTTAACTCTTTTGACCAAATTTTTCTAATAGAGAAAGGTAGCGAAAAATAATTTGTCGCCGTGTATGCTACTCTTTATACCAAACGGATAAGAGAGACTTTATGCCAAACGTGGAAGAGTTAAACGATTCATCCTGTATGATACAGTAAGGTATAGTAAGTATGATACAGTATGCAGACGGAGTCGTTAAAGTTTAATAAATCCGATGTTTCAATAGGAAATGATGTTTTCTAAATTAGGTAATTGTGTTATATATAACGCCATTATCAGATTAGTGGATAGACCAGATTAGAACTGGTTCATCCTACCGCGATGAGCCAGTATATCCAAGCAACGCCACTGAAAGATAGGGGAAGATAATTGTACTGTCGATCGATGACTAACAGACTGTTTAGTTACCGTGTTAAGTACGGGGACCTCTGTAAAGTTCATGTGCAATGATGCGAACGCAGTGAAATTTTCCCGTGATCGCCAAATCTTCCTTTCGAATCAGAAAACTGTATAATTATATACGTACATATTTATTAAGAAATAGACGTGTTTATCTTACAGGTCGCGATTGTAATTTATGTACATTTTCAGTTGAAACAGAAGCGGTAAGCTATGTATGCTTTCTTTCATATGACGAGAAATGGCGTTCCTATTTACGTAAGTCTCTTTGCAGTCAATTCTTGGAAAAGGTGTCTTTTGCATCCTTTTAATAGTCTCTTCCTAATGCTTCTGAGTACGTCAACGAAGGGAGATTACACTTAGCTAAAACAATGAAAATCGTTACAATACATTGCGGCGCGCTTCATTTAAGCTAAAAGATTTTTTTGTAAAATATTGAGGCAACTGTACATATACATACGTAAACAAATGTAAGCCTCCACTGAATAAACAGCTCTAGCCTTCCTTTAACATACTTTACATAATCTTCTTTCACTTCAGTATCACACTTTACCCCTTTCTGAGCTAAAAAGAACAATAATATTAGAACTACTCTGTTTGGATTTGTTAAAACAATGCAGCTATTGAACATCATGTTTCTAGTTGCGAACAAAGCATTTCTATTATCTGACCGTACATACATGGTCAATAATGTATTAATTTGATGTCAGAATATATCTGTCTTCTGTGTTAACTACTCTAAATGCTGTCTTAACCAGATCTTGTATATCCATGTCTTCTCAGGTCATCGATTATGTCATCGCTAAAGTCTTTTTATCCTATTCCTGGACATCTTTGGGCACCTTCTATCTTATAACAAAATATATATTTAAACAAATAAATGATTTATGTAATGTGATGGAAGCAGATTCTATCGTAGCTTATTCTAAAACAATAAATAACCGAGGTACAATAATTATGACTTGTTAAAAATATCTTACCAGGTCAAAACGTGATATATTCATGCTAGGTATCAAAGTTCATGTAATCAGGAAAAACAGTGATATACATGGTAATGATGTATCCCACCTATTAAAAATCATAATATAAAGAAATATTAAATGTTTCAGTAATGTTTAAGTATTAAATGAAAATTACTACCGACGAATTGGCTTCAAGTCCTTGGAATTTAAAATTTAAATAACGAACGAAATTATACCACACATTTACGAATTATAGTCACAAATTTCAAAATGTATATGTATAAATGTTATAAATTAGTAAAAAAGAAATGTAATTACAAAAACTATATTATTTTATAACTTTTTCTTTCGGTATCTAGTTAATAGTAAAAATATATTTTAATCGATATCGAAATGCGAAAGTTTTGTACAGACGAAAACTACGGAAAGCTTCTAATGCGCACGCGTATCTCCCGTAAGATTATGTTCAATAGGGTTACTAGAGTCAGAGTCGGCCATTAATCGTTAATCGTCACCTACGCATAATTATACTTCATCTTGATGTAAAAAGTAGATGAATAAATACGTCAATGACTGTATTAGCTAATTATAAGTTCAAACATTTATTTATTTCACGATGAAAAAAATTATATCATCAATTCAATCGATGATCTAATATACTTACTTCAGTGAACTTGTATTATACAAAGGCTAAATGAAAAATTTTATCGTTATCGCAATTCGTGATCATGTTTCATTAAATTATGAAACTGCCAAACGATAAGATGGTACATATTATAAAATTAACCCTTTGAATACCAACACTATTAACGAAACCTAACCAAAACTCATACATACTGGGTTCGGAATAGTTCTGATAGAGCTCAGGCCCGTATGCAGTATTCAATTTTAAGGACATAAATTTTTCAAGTGAATCTAACAAGAAGCAAAATCTAAGTGACACTTATAACAACGGTAAAACTTTTATGAATGATCCCATACTGAGATCTAAACAAAACCACCAACCGTGATTCCAAGCCATGCGGAAGCCTAAATATATACGCGTCTACTTGTAAACAGAAGTTATACATATATATGTGTACATTATAGCGTATTGGGCTCATGTAAGCTGTGTCTAGTAAAATGTGCTTATCTGATATATTTTAAATCGAAATCGATAACGTAGAAATGAAAGAGTAATTATACGTGTTTAAATATATATATACACATATTTTTGAAGTGACTAAAATATTTTTATCTGGCATTTTGTGCTGTACGGATGTGAACGAGTCTTTACAGCAGAAGCAACATGGTTCGATGCGCATGCGCACTTGCAATGATACCGTCTCCTCGCATATGATGGCGACTGACAACTTTAAAACGTGAGTTTATTATCATATAATTTCTTATGTATATAATTTGCAGTTCGAGTGTAAAATGTAACAGTGGCATCATCGAATATTCAGATCTCGATTGACCAGGTAATTCTTTTCCGTGGCGATCGCCCGTTAGAGTGTATCGTTAAAATTACCGCTCATAATTCGTTAGACCAACATTCACTTATTCTAGTATATACCTATAAAGCTTTCCGTAACTTCTCGCGCTAGCGTACTTAGAAAAATGTTATAAATTCTTTTCTGAATGAACACAATGTGCACGAACTTCCCAGAGATTTTTCCACGTAATTACAGACGATCTTCGCGTGTCTTCGTTCGCTTCTTTTTTAATTTACCACCGATTCGTAATCGAGATACTTATAACAGTGGCGAGTTTGGGTACTTCAATAATGATTACCTCTACGTATTCGTAACGAGAAATTTATTATGTTTACGTTGCAATAACGAGTGATCCTTCATTTTCTAATTATTGAAAACTTTTTAAGTAACCTTGATATATTTGTTGGAACAAAAATACGACACACCAATGCCTACCAGCTAGCATAATTTATTTTGCAAAACAACAAAACTTCACACGAAATATTTACATCGTAAAAAGAACAACAATTGAAAATATTTTTTCGCAATATTGCTACTTGTTTTTTTTTATTGAATTTCTGAATTTGAAAGATAACTGCAAGTGATCGTTAGGTGGTATTGTTATCGTTGCTACTACCTTGTAACTCGTTTTATAAAATATGAAAAAATTATAATAAATTATTTAACGGCAAGAAATTCGTCGCTGGTTTTTATATCTGTTATGGATTAAAATATATAGAAATTCGTGTTTCCGACAACAGTTTGCAACCGGAATATATTTGAAGACCAATCAATAATCCAACGAGCATTACGAGTATTAGTTTTATAGTTTGGAGGTTAACGCAGAAGTATATCGAAATCGGAACTCGAGCGCTAGCTCGACCGGCGAAATAACTTTCCCAATTAGCATTTTCCTTGAATCGATACTCACGATATTTTCACGCGTCAATATGGCATAAAATATTGATCGTTAAATTTGCGAAATTCGCTAAGGCTGCCCGAAATTGCTATTTCAAAGGCAGAATCCTTTTTCTGATCGCAGGTATTGCTCGTTCGACCAATCCAGTTGCGATAACAATACGACGTCACGCTGATATTGTCCGCCATTGGTTCGAATCGGGGGAGAAGGTCTCTGCAAAACCGAAGTAATAAAATCTAATGTCTAGCGTCACTTGAAGTGAAACCTTCTTTCCGTAAACAACGTACGGTCTATGCTAGTAGCTCAATGACGACACGCGTATCGATCGGAATTCAAACTTGTACCTCGATCGGAAGGCATAGTGCGGCAAACACCGGTCTCCCCTTTGTGATCGGATTTTTTCAAAGAAATATTGGTCCAGCTTGCATCGATCTGGAGGACGCAAATTGGTCGTCCTTTTTTCCCCCACGAACGAATATTTGCGCGGGAGAATGATCGTGGCTCTTGTCTCGAAGTTGTGTCTCATTCGGACGATCGAACTCGAATCGAATGAACGTCCGTTCGTGCTCGATGGTTATCGATCTGGCAAACGAACGATCCTTGAACGATTTCAAAATTGCTGGGGCTCGAGAAAAATCTGTACATCGAATGCGGTTAGCAGTGTATCGAGAGTTTTGCGATTGGTCGAAATCGCAGACTCGTTCCTTGGTGTAGTAGGGATCACCCAATGATGCCCAGTCTGGTGCGCCGTCGCTACTATGGTCAGAGCCTATGAGGATGTAGCTGTAGCGTACGGAGAATGAAGGTTCGAACGCTCAAAAGATATGCCGAGAAAATCGTTTGGAAACCATTGGAAATTGAACTCGCAGTGTTCCTCGTTCACGGAGAAACAATTGCTCGGGTCGCGTTCACGATCCCAGTGAAAAGGATCGATTTTCAGATCGGTTCGACAGTGTCTTTTATTCCAGTGAGGAAAGTGTGCGTGCGCGTTGTGTTCGTCGCGAGTGATTCGTGATGCGCGACGGGGACGAATTTGTAAAAGTATTTGAACGCGAATGTCCGCATTCGAACTATTAAAATCGTTTGCATTCGCGAGCCGCTCTTTTCGCGTAGAATGCGAAAAGCAAGTTATTCGACGTTCTGCGGTTCATTTGAAAGTGTGAAAGTTAATAACGTAACTACACTCAACAATAATAGTTCGGCGCGTGTTTCAAATCACGTCAGCGAGTCCCTTAACGCCCAGTTATGGCTATTCGCGGATACCAGCGCGTTTATTATTAAAGACTTCGAGTTCGTCTGACTGTTTACCAAATTTTCCATTGTTGTTTATTGCAAATTCTTGCGAATTATGTAACTAGCAACAATCACATCAATTGATAAGAGACATTCTACACTTTTAGGTTTGTAAAAAGATAACATACTTTTACTTTGTGCTTGTCCTTTTCATTCGTCTCGCGAACGACATTTTATAAACCAGCTCGCTCTTCTTCTCGTGGTAATCCTGATTTTTCAATCGTTTTGTTATAATTTTTAGATTTTTGTTTCTAAAATTGTGGATATTTTTTTGGATAATTCAGATATTGCGACACTATATCTTTTTCTATAGTTTTACTGATTAAATATTACGGTTTTATATATTTTGTTGATATCCAATTGCAATACATTTCCAGATGAATAATATATGTAAAAATTGATCGGTTGGCTCAAATTCTCATTTTATTGCTGCTACAAAGGGATTTAACTGTAGTATATAATGTAAAAGTTTTATGGACCATTGTAAAATATATGTTTGCTCTGTTTGCTCGACAGAATGGAGGAAGAAATAGTTGTTGATGATGTTGATGAGAATAGTAGCACAGAGACAGCACAATCAGATGATCCAACGACACCCATTATGCCTTTATTATATATTCAACAAAGTAAACTACGTTCGGCACCACCGACAACAACAAATCAGACATTGGTTTCGTCGAATGCCACCCAACTTGCTGCCATTATTAATCCAGTCAACAATCAGGTAATTATATTTGAATATTAAAAATATTCACAAGAATATTTTTAAACCATTGACATTTGTTTTGCTTATGCTGTATAATTTGTTCACTGAATGATAATTCTAATAAAGTTTATTAATTGCAAATATATGCATATATAATATGATTCTTACATAAGTAGATATAGCACTTTGTACTATATGCTACAATAAACTGCATGGTTACTTATATAGGTCATAGTAACCTATACTTGTATAAAATGATCCAGAATAATTGGTATACTCTAAGCAACCACTGTGGAGTGCAAACAAGTGTAACCATGTCATAAGTGAATTAATATGTAATCTAAACCTTTAAAACCTGAAATCATTTCATTCTATGTGTAGGTGGTGACAGTGAGTGACACATTTCTGTAATAAATATATATTTCTTCCATCTCTTTGATATAGTGAATCATAAGCAAGTGGTTATAGATTAGATTAAAATTTTTATCCACAAGAAGGTGTTTTTTGATACATTGTAATACAAAATTGGGAAAAAATACTTTTCAAAGAGTTGCATCAAGTTATACAATTGTTTCATTGACAAGACCATTTTCCATCTAATTGTTAAGATCATTGGATCAATTTCAAGAACTTTGAACGTTTAAAACATTTCTGTTTTTTTTAAATTTTAGATTGTTGCTGGACAAAACAAAGTGTTTATACAAGGGCCAGGTCAGGTTACGAGTTCTCAGAATAAACAACATATTGTGATCCACCGACCAATTAACACTGTCAGTACAACAGCAACATCTCAAGGCCAGAAACACATACTGCTTAGAAAATCGAATGCGTCTACTGCTCAGATTGTGCCGCTAAGTTCATCTCAGGGGAATCAGACTACAGCACAAGCCGGCAAGCATACGTTCGCCTATCTTGGAACACTTATCAAGCCGAACAAGTCACGCGAATCTGTTGTAATTCCTGCAGGTAATAAAATTTTTTAATCTGCTTTTTCTGAAGCTTCATTTTTCTGAAAATAGTACTAATTGATTTGTTAATATTCCTTAATAGGAGCTTTAACAACAACTCAAATAGCTAAACCAAAATTAGTGATTGGACCAGTTATCTCTCAATTGGCTCAGACATCAACTAGCACCACCACAGGGTCCCAGAATCAGACTCCCAAGCATATGGCGAATTTGTTACTACCAGTCAGTATTCCTCAGCAGAGTGGACCCACTAAATCTAGTATGTTCAATTTAAAAATCAACAATGGCCAAATTAGCACGGAAAGCAAAGGAACCATTACAGTTTTACGGGAATCGAAGGCAACAAATTCAGCCACACATCCGCCGCCATTGCATCCTATTGCGAAAATGAGTTTACTGAGCGCTAATAAAGGAAACAATAATTCTACAGACAGTATAAAAATTACTGAGAACCCTGACTCCGCTGTGATTACACCTATTCCCAAAAAGGACGATAGCGTTATACCCGAGAAAAGAAAGAAAACTATAAGCAATATATTAAGAGGATCCAATGAGAAACGATTGAAAAAGCAAAACTTATCGAAATCGCCGCAAGACAGTATGGTCGAAGTCACTTATGCGCTAAGCAGTCCAGAATCTGAACAAGACAAAGATAAGAAAGTGCAAAATGACGATGATATTACTTTGATCAAGGTGGTGCCTAGCGAGGAGAAAAGTGTTAAACTGAACACCAACGTGGATGATGATATAAAGATTGAAATTATTAAAACGCGGACGAGTTGCGTCGAGCCGATATCAGACAATAAGCACGATACTAAACTCATTAATCACGATGATATGAAAGATCACTTAAACACCAGTCACACGAATGATTCTAATTTTGATGCTGCAAAGGTGCTAGATTGGAAAGATGGTGTTGGTACTCTGCCTGGAAGCACGTTGAAGGTACGTTACATATTTTTTCACAGTAAACAGATAAATATGCATTATACAATAACGTGTATATTTTACAGTTCTGTATGAATGAATTTGGTATCATGGAAGTAGTAGATGAGGACGAGAACAATAAACAAGGGAAAGATGGAATCGGTGATAAGGAAAATGTTTGTTTAACACAGAATTCCTCGAAGTCTAGCCCTCTAACCGTTAATAATGTGAACTCTGAGAAGAAGTGTAGGTATCAGAATATTTCTCTAAAAAAAAAATAGTATTCAGATTATATTAAGTATTTTTTCTTTACAGCGGACGATAGAAAAACCAGAATTGTTTCTGTGGACACAATGTATCATTGCGAAGGTTGTGGGTGTTACGGTCTAGCCGCAGAGTTTGAAACTCCAATATCATGCAGTCCATCGTGCTCAGAAATAATAGAAGCTACTAAGAAGCAACCACCAATGCGGAAGGAAAAAGATTTGAAGTATGTACTTACAAAAATTATTCAATAAATAATGGGTTAAATCTAGACTTAAAATATTTGTTCATACAGAGATTTACGCGCGAAGCGGAAACGTAAAAGATTACTACAGGAACAACAGCAATCGAAAGAAATGGAGGACAAAACTGATGAGAAGGTTCAAGATAAAGTAAAGTCTGAAACTGACGAGGACACCAAGGACACTATTGCTGGAATTGATGATGAGAGTCAAGGAGACTCTGCCGAGGCAAAGGTAAGTGAGATCCGGCCTTTAAGACCGCATTTTTGAAACATACTGCTTATAAGTGTGTCTCTGTATGTAGTATCCTTGGCAGACAGGAAAAGTTGGATTCTCGTGGTCTAAATATCTTGAGCATTGCAAGGCAAAAGCTGCTCCGGTCAAATTATTCAAGGATCCATTCCCATATAGTAAAAATAATTTCAAAGTTGGCATGAGACTGGAAGGAATTGATCCGGAACATCCTTCCCGATATTGTGTTCTAACAGTCGTCGAAGTAGTGGGCAAGTCATTTAAAATTTCATCTAAAAAGAAAAATTCCTCTATTTCGAAAGAAACTATTAATTTCTATTTTTGAGAACAGGTTATCGAATACGTCTGCATTTCGACGGGTACCCAGAGAATTACGATTTCTGGGTGAATGCGGATAGCAGCATGGACATATTCCCGGTTGGATGGTCGGAGAAGAATGGGCACCGATTAGACCCGCCAAAGGGATATGTTGCCAGTAATTTCAATTGGAATGCGTATCTAAAAATTTGCAAAACTACTGCAGCACCGAAGACTATATTTCCAAATAAAAGTGTAAGCGATGCGACTTGTGGTCATATTTTACTTATATTAGAAATTCCATCAAGATTGCAAAATTTTGTTTTCTCATTTCAGTCAGTCTTTCCAACTGGTTTTCGCGTAGGAATGAAATTGGAGGCAGTAGATAGAAAGCATTCTTCACTAGTTTGCGTAGCTAGTATAGCAGGCCTAATGGACTCTCGCATATTAGTTCATTTTGATTCTTGGGATGAGGTTTACGACTATTGGGCAGATGCCAGTTCCCCTTATATTCATCCGGTGGGATGGTGTCATCATAACGGTCATAGTCTCACACCGCCCAATAGTAAGCAAATAATATTTCAATTTATTACTGGCCTCTGTTGCTGTTTCTCGGATCGACAAAAATGCTTTTCTTATTTCAGATTATAAAGATCCAAAATCATTTACGTGGGACGCTTATCTGAGGGAAACTCGATCCATGGTTGCACCAGCAAGAGCTTTCAAGCAACGACCGCCTTGTGGATTTAAGCGTGGAATGAAGTTAGAGGCAGTTGATAAAAGGGTTCCCCAATTAATAAGGGTGGCAACAGTCGAGGACGTTAAAGATCACATGTTCGTACGATAATAATCTGTCTTATTTTCGTGACTCGTATCAACAAAAATTAGAATGATTTATATTGTAGGTTAAAGATACGATTCGATGGGTGGCCAGAAAATCATGCTTACTGGGTCGACGATGATTCTCCGGACATACATCCTATGGGGTGGTGTTTGAAAACGGGTCATCCTCTGGAGCCACCATTAAGTAAGTCTGAGAATACCGATAGGTTAATTCATAATGATAAGTTACTAAATGATAACTTACTTAGAGATACTTATTTATTCGATCACAGCTCCGGACAACCTGAACGACAGGCCAGAGTGTGGCACATACGGCTGTCGTGGGATAGGCCACGTAAAAGGACCTAAATACGCAACGCACAATTCTGCGTCCGGTTGTCCCTACTCGCCTCAGAATCTTCACAAGGTGAGGCAACTGTCTGACAGACTGAACCTGAAACACGAGACTTGCGATTTCGAGGACGATGTGCTGGACAAACCGAAAACAGAAAAGACTGATAAAATTAAGATGGAAAAGTCTGAGAAGCCCGAGAAATTGTTGTTCGCGGATGAACGGTTACTGAAGACTGAGAAAGATATTAAGCAAGAGGACGGCGAACTGTCTGATAAGAATGACAAGTCTGAAAATTCGGAGAAGTAAGTTATACGATTATTTTTGTCCTTATGTAAACACTAAGATTGTGCGGGTAAATAATAACGTATTGTGTTAAGGTCGAGCAAGTCGAAGCATCATCATAGCGACGGACAAACCGACGATGACGAGCTGTTGAGAAAGCGAAAGAAAAGGTAATTTTGTTGAAGCTGGTGGTATTACATTTATTTCGGTCGAGACTCTATCGTTGCTTTTCATTGTTACAGACGACAGATTTCCGAGGAGCCTTTGTATTCTTTATCAAATTACGGCGACTCGTCGCTAACGACTGCACCCTACGCTGCAAATATGCCTGATAAACAGTTGCGAATGGAGCTGTATCAGTCTGTGTACAATCCCGGTTACAATCCGTTACCGGACGCACCACACATATGGGCGAAGCATAGTAACGCTTTGAATCGAGTGGTAGCGAGGCAGAATACGAATCCTCGTCGATGGTCGAACGAGGAGGTGATTAAATTCATCCAGAGTATGCCCAATTGCAAAGAAATTGGGAACATTTTTAGGAAACATGTAAGAATTTCAATTCTTTGTTTAGAGGTTACCGAACGAGGTAACTAATAATTGAAATCTAATAATCGATTATTTGCAGAACATAGACGGCGAGGCGTTTCTAATGCTAACCCAAGAGGATTTGGTATCTCTGCTCGGACTGCGACTCGGCCCAGCGATTAAATTGTACAATAGCATAGTTCTTCTACGACGAAGGGCATCGTGAATCATGTGCGATGAACGCACATACAATTGGATCTTGAAAAGTGCAAACTGGCAGCTATCGTGACGATATTGTCAACTGTAATTGTTTTAGAAGTTCATGAAATTTCCAACTGTAGAAACGTATTTTCTACTGCGATTGGAAAACGTTTATTTCAATGGTGGGAAACGCAAAAAAATTTTTTATTATCCTGATCATGCGTGCGAGCAAATTTATTGACGGATGATGACAGGGGAGATATGATAGCGTTCGAAAAACTTGATATCGAGTTTTGAGATATAATCATAGCTGGAATGTACGTGCATCATAAGTACTTACGATTGTCCTTTCTAATTTCTTTTCCTAAACAGTCAAGTGCATTCAATCATGTACAAATGTAAATACTAATGATCTTAATAATTAAATATTGTAATACAAAAACATTTGAAACGTCCAAGAGTAACTTATCCCGACCTGAACGAGCGTATTTTGTATGCACCATTATCATTTATATTTGATCGAGTGCTTCGGTACAAAAATTGCAAAAAAAGACTTAAAATCTAGAAGATTACAAAATTTCTTGGCCGGTAAATGCAAAAATAAAGAGATAAGTCGACAAGGTTACTCTTCCATATTTGAATTTCTAGGTGCGAGCGTCACGAGTACGACGTGTGTGTCGATTATCGCGTAGGGAGGGGCGGTGCTTCATTTAAAAAGTCATCCCCTCCACTGGTTCCTGGTGTTGTGCCACTCACGTCACGATTCGTCCCCCTCCCACCACGCGGCCGCTATGGCGATGTTTACAGCGTAGTCAGGACGACTGGCCATGTGTTCAGTCGGTGGCTCGTCGCGCGCCGGGTAGCAGCGAATGCTTGTGCGTGGTCTTTCGTTGTGTGCTTCTGGGACTTGCGTGACAACCACAAATTGACTGTCAATCGCGACACTGTCTCTCTACCGATACTTCCGTGGCCGCGGAATTGTGATAAAATCGGAGTTTCGATCGCGCGACGGAATTTCGACCGGTAAACTCTCGATCAATTTAACGCTAATCAATGAAACTGCCGGCGAAACGGAACGATGACACTGTCAGGATCGCGGGAGTCACGTTGCAGTGATCGCACCCACAAATTTTCGCGCGTCGATTATTTACGAAACAAACGCAACGATCCTATTTGTCGGTGGTCGTAGCCCGCGTTCGATATTCGCGCGACGGTCGATCGAAAGAACAATCGAAAAGTGTCAATCGTCGTATTTGTTTTCGCTGCTTTCGATAATCGATGCGTTGTCGAGGGTGTAACGGAAAGAAACGGGTCAAGTGATCAACGGCGGTGTGTTGTTATGACTGAAGTATTTTTCGCGCGTGAAAAGGAGGAGAAGGATGCGGGGTGGTCGACGCTGATCGTTCTCGAGCGAGAAAAACGCGAGAACGCCGAGGAGGAGGGCCGCTCGGTGAAATTCGGCGCAGGATTCGCCGGGGCCACCGGTGGCGCCAAAATGCCCCGTGGCTTGCCGACTAGACGAGGCCTCCAGGCGCTGGCACTTGTTCTCGCAACCGCTTATGCCACGATCCTTCTCTACCAAGCCGTTGCCCCACGTCAGGTAACCACCATATAACGCTCACTTATCCTCTTACATTACATTTTCCTTACTACCGCACTGTTTATTTTTGTCAACCATGCATTTCACTTTCTCGAAGCAAGTAGTCGAACAGCAAAGAGGTAATTAATTATTTGCAAAAGGGTCCTTCTCTTCGATTTCGATCAAATTTGAATATGACATTCACAGCTTGACATTCTGAACAACCTTTTCCTTCGCAGTGACACATATTGCTCTGCATTCTGTAGATCTAACCTTAAGTGCGGGTCAGGCTTTTTGCAAATAATTATCAAAATCTTTGCACGTCTTGAATTACAAAAAAGAGAAATATAATATAATATATAATATATATATAATATAATATGAAAGGGAACTGTCAGACGTGAATTCTTGCTAGGACAAATTTTGTTGTCAGAGGCGTAAATGTGAGGCGGGAATGGGAGGAGCAGTTCAAATTTGCCGCGCTTGACGAATAGGATTTTTAAGCGTCTCGATGCGATTTAAAAGTAGATTTTATTAGAAAAGATAATACCGACGTCTCTACCGGACTGACTGTAGATGATAATTGTTGCATTTATTACGTTGCCTGATTATCGTTAGGAGTAGAAGAAGGAAAGTTTTAAGTGCCATGTTTTGAGAGATGTCGTTAACGTCGGCGTGTAACGGTCGGTGCTGTAGCTCGAAAGAAACGCGCGAATCAATGCGTTCGGAAGCGCATTGCTGGACGATATCTAGTTATGTTAATTGGACGACGAATCGAGAGTGGCGAGTCTACTCAGTCGAGTTTGTTTTCATTCCTCCGGGGCCCGATAAACATTTGCCTTACGTGCACGTGACCGTTTCTGTTCGGAAATCCGTTTAGTCATCGAGCGATATCTATGGAATTGCTATGCAGCTCGTAAATATCATGATTATGGTCATTATGGGCATGTTTTCTTTTTCCACGTAAACGAGAATACTTTATTATACGAAACAGGAAACAAATGATCTATTGTCGGTGCAAAGTTCGCGGCGTAATTGAAAGCTTTTCAAACATAACCTACTTTCGTGCGCATGCGCCGAGAAATATGCGTTGCGAAAAATACGTTCGAACGGTTTAAAGCGATCAAGAATGATCAAGCTATCGTTCTTGATTGATAGGTTCAGAACACTTGCGTGAATTTTTTAACAGTAATTTCATAGGAAATCAATTGTGACGCACAAATGAACGAGGGTAGCTAAGATATTGCATTTTTTATTTCAGTGGGTGGACGAAATGATGGTAGAGGTGAATAGCCGAAGCGTTTTGGTAGAGGTACCTGCATCAAGGAAATTGATCAGCGAAGAATCATTGGTGACCTCCGCGATCGCAACAGCAACCATGGCACCGCCTTCAACGAACTTAGATGATGTGTTCATCAGCGTGAAAACAACGAAACACTATCATCATTCTCGACTGCCAGTGATCATCAACACGTGGTTTCAATTTGCCAAGGATCAGGTATGTAAAATGCATTTTTATTTCTTGTATATTTTTTCTTCTGTCTACAAAAATATAGTCTACTTCTTCTGTCTTCAAAAGTATAGAATATTGCATAAATTAGTTTCTTCAGGTTGTGTCACCTATTGGACAGTAGGACATTACAAGGAGCTAGATGAATCAGGGACTTTAAGCTTTAGGCTCTGAATTTGGAAACACTTGAGCTTCAGGACCTTGAATCTAGGAACACTTAAGCTTCAGGTCCTTGAACCTAGGAACACTAAAAGCTTTAGGACATTGAACCTAGGAACACTGAAAGCTTTAGGACATTGAACATCGGTTAAATCGTGCTTTAGGATCTTGACTCTAGAAACACTCGAGCTTTGGATCTTGCGTCGAGAAAGAGTCGAGCTTTAGTGCTTTGAACTTCGGAGTACATACGAGGGCCTTGAAAATCGGAGCCAAGTTTCAGAACTTACGAAGATCTATCGCAAACAGTCGGCCGCGTTGATACGGTTTAAAACACAGGCGCGCATTTGATGGGACGTCGCCGTGGGAACGGGATTCGCTCTATTTCTGCTTTACCGTTCCGTCCCTCTACTTTTCCGCCCCCTTATTCTCCATTAGCATTTGCACTGTTACGGTCGTCCCAGACAATAAGTACTCTGTTCGTTCCACCGTTTATTCCCGGAGCGTACAGAACTTTATCTGCTCCGCCATTTCTTCTGTTGTTGATACGTACAGTTCCGTGTGCGTTCCGTTGTATTTTTTTTCTACGGGTTTATCAGCTCCTCGGTTTCTCGGTTGAACTCGAAAAAGAGAGCCCGTTACGTCGCCGAGATTCGACCGCGAGAGGGACGGCTTAGGAAGAGCCGGAGAACTTCCGCGATATTATCTCACCGCGGCTAATTGCGCGCATTGTAAATTCTCCCCGCCGCTCCCTTCGCCGCCGACGACACTTCCTGGAACGGTAGCCCAGAAAAGTCGAGGGGCCAACCTTCGGGCTGGCAGATTCTCGAGAATCGCCGCGATGCGCTCGCCGGGCTGTACTCGCTCGCTAAAAGACCATTTCGGAGCACTTATCTTCTCCATCCGGTGCTGTATTCGCTTGTAACGCTATTGTCGGTCTCCTTTGAGACCTGTCCACGCATTGAGACCATTGCTTGACGAACGCTACGATCTACCTTGATCAGAACTATCTCCTTAATCAACGTCGCGAGACTCCAGGTTGTTAAGCCGAATGCTCTAACGCTTCGTTTCTCTCTTGAGATTCCAAAGATTAAGAGTCGACTGTTTGGACCGCAAAGCCCTCGAGTACGCTAGAACATAGTTCTTAGTGGCAAAGTTATTCGCGTTGCTTGCTAATATATTTTGTCGCGTTAAAATACTTATAAGGAAGAATATAAACGTATAATATATAATCTTCACAGTGACTCCAAATTAACAAGACTAGAACTAGGTCTCGCAGCGCTCTCTACAATGCAATTAGTGTTCGTCTATGACATAAGATGTCGCGATTTACACCTTTCCATTGATTCTAAGAATCTACTTGGTCGATTATGACTGTTTTTTTTACAATGAATCTACTTCCTGACCAAGAGCCTGAAACTCCATGCTGTAAAATCAAAAGCTCCGACGTTTCGCTTCTCTCTTGACATTCCAAAGACGAACAGTTCGGGTCCCAGGCACCCCTATCAGAGCCCAGAAGGTCCAAAGTCTTTGGTTCGCAGCCTAAAATCGCTGCAAACTGTTCCGAATGGCGAACATCCCAGGCCAGGAAGACACCAGCGACCTGTTGATCGAAATTGGCCGGTTTTTTTTGGCAATGATCGCGGTAATTTCATTTTCCCCGCATGGGAGAGTCCCACGGTTCACCTTCGACCCTCCGACCTCGACGGTGAACGGGCCTTGTCCACGCGCACACGAGGGATCCCGGGTAGAAATCCGCGTTTTCGTATAGCGAAACCCTTTTACCTGTTGGCTGATCGGCCGGGGATGCTTTAATCACGTGTAATCAGCGGAACCGACGGTGATTAAGCGTGGCCAGGAAACGCTCCGCCTGGCCGCTCGCGTGATTCGCTCGCCGCAGCTCGGCGTTTTCGCGTCGCGTCGCGTCGGGTCTATTTCGTTCTCGCCATAAATTCTCCGGAATAGATTCTCTCATTGTCTCGCGGCGGGCCGAGGATATTGGAAAGCATTAGCGGTCAGGCCCGGTTCGGGGGACCCGGGCCCTGGCCCCCCGGATCCACGGTGTTACCGATTCACGATCCAATTTGCGGAGGATGATTTACCGCGTGGAAGGAAATAGAGTTAGAGGCGCGGTGGAGGAGGAGTCCGTTGTTGCCCGGGGCGACGAATTGTTTCAAGATGCAAATCGACCACGGTCTTTGGCCGGTCCGACGTCTAGGATTCGGCGACGACAACGACGACGACGTGGTCCGGGAACAGAGGAATCGGACAAATCGATATCGCGCGTCGCTCGATCGATCGACGGGCCTCGATCAGGCCCAGTCATCCTCAACGATTGCTCCCGTCGCGACGTTAACATTCCGTCGGGGCCGTGAAAAAAAGTGCCGGTTGGGCGGCGGCGATCGATCCGGCCGCTTCTGGAACGTTTGTCATTAGTTTCAGTGACTCCACTCGCCGTCCGAACCCTTCAATTTACAAAAGCCGTGTGCTACCTTCGGAACGCTCGCGGATAATTGCTCAATTACGTCGTTTATTTATCTGAAAGCGCTTGCCGACCGCGCCGCGGCAATTTTACGCGACGAAAGTACACGGTGCTTGTCCGAGTTCCACGTTCTTCTTTTTTTTCTTTTTTTCTTTTTATTCTTTTCGATCTTCGGATTGATTGGACGCCGCGAGTCGATCGTTAAAGGGACTTCTACGGGGTCCAGGCTTGCGTGCTATTCGCCGGGCGAAAACACGAGCGAGAGAGAGAGAACGGTTTGCGCGAGAATTGCTTCATTTTCTTTTTTAACCCCGCTGTGGCTGATTTGTATTCAGAGCACCGGGGGCCCCGTCGGGTCAGCTGATAACATCGAACTGGTTAGATACAGCGCGAGGAAGCCAAAGGGAAGTAGTTGAGAAACATAGGCAATTCTCTGAAATGGATAGCTATTCCGATTCAGCAATTAGTTTCTCTCGTGCGAGAAGACTGGCAGTTCGTTCGATGTACATGTACGCTCGAACTTGATAAAATAAGACTTCTGCTTTTTCGTCTGTTTAGAGAGACAGCGATTTTTAAGCGCATGCTAGCGTTTCTATCATTTTTGCGTCCTCGTGCTCGATTATGACGAACGAAACGTTTCGGCTTGCGACCAAGTTTCTAGTTCAGAAAGCCTCCGGAGACCGTGAACGTTGCAACCACTAGAACAAAATGGAATCATAGTAAATTCCGATCGTCGACGGTGGTTGTTCGTAACCAAAAATTGTTTTCTTCAATGGTTTATCGGTAACCGATCAAGTTCTATTCATTTACAAGCATTAATTATTAACCAGAACACACAAAAGTCCACGTGTTTTCTAATCATTGCATTTTTTAAAAATTCTCTTTAAAATTTAACGACGAATTGTGCGAATAAATATCACATTTCTGTCCGACGATTTTCTCCTATTAATTTTCTCACATAAATGTTTTTTCTCGTGTCCGGGTGCCTCTCTAACGAAGAGCTCCAGGAATCGGTTCCTCTGTCTTTGCCGTTCCCCCCGCTCGAAGAAGCAGCTTCTAATTACAATAATTATACAGCCGGTGCTCGGTCCTCTCGCGAAAAACGCTCGGACAAAGCCCGTGCCAGAGACAATAAAGCTAGCGTAGCCCAGCGGTCTCGGATTCCCTTAATCCAGCGTAACGTCGGACTAGTTTAATTCGCCTCGCTGGCAACTGCCGCCACCCACAGAAGCGGTGCACGACCTCTCGAAGTCGAAATGTATCAAGGATTCTCTAGCTGGATGGAACGAGCTAGAGAGACAGCGAGAGAGAGAGAGAGAGAGAGAGAGAGACGAAGGGAGCGAGCGGTGTGCCCCGAAGATCGGCCGAACAATGACGCCCGTTTTAGCCGCGCGGTACGTGCGCGGATTAACGTAATTATGTCGATGTAACGTGACGCCGGTGCCTGTGACGTCATCCCGTCGCTCGTCCCTTCGTCAGTGTTTCTTGTTTGCCGGATATTCGCGTCGCTTCTGCGAACGCTGACGACGGCGACTTCTCTCTCTCTCTCTTCTCTCTGTCTCTCTCTTTCTCTCTTCTCTGTCTCTCCGCTCTCTACGCTCTCTCTTCTCTATCTCTCCGCTCTCTACGCTCTCTCTTCTCTATCTCTCCGCTCTCTACGCTCTCTTTTCTCTCTCTCTCTCCCTCTCTCTCTGTCTCTCTCTACGCTCTCTCTCCTCTGTCTCTCCGCTCTCTCGTCTCTCACCTTCTTTTTTCATCCTCCGTTCCCGATTCTTTAATCTTTTAATTGCACCGGACGTCCGCCGCGACGCGCTCAAATTGGACGACGGACGTTCTCCAACGGCTGTTGCACCACTTGCGCAAAAGTCTGCACTCGCGTGGATCGGGGCGACGCGATTTTCGTTTCGGCCCTCCCGGTTGACGTCCTTTCGGTTCCCACAGTTTAGGTTCCGAATAGGAGCATCGGCGGGGTAATGAACCGCGTGGAAATCCTCTCCAGACAATGCCTGTGACGTCCGTCCCTGCCTTCTTGCGGGCCGGGCTCGCTTCCTGAAGAAGGGAACCCGGCTACTAAAAATAGGAGGCGACTGCTTTAACACGTGCGCCGCACCGATCCTCTAACGACCCCGGATCAGTCTGTTCCCAATGGGTCGCCCTCGTGTCGCAGAGGTGTTTTTGCCAGACAACGCGATGGAAATTCCGTGTCCTCTAGGCGAATGAACGGGGCCTTCGATTTCACCTTATTCGCTCGAATCGAGCAATTTTCGAAAGAACAAGGAGCCACGAGGATTTCTCGAAGTACAGCGAATTCTTCCTAATTGACCGCCTCGGCTTGGAAAGAGAAATTGGCAATGTCGGAAGAGGATTATTATACGATCATTCGAGCCTTGCGGCTCGTTTTTATAGTTGTTGATAATCGGTAGCTATAAAAACGAGGCTCGGAAAAGGGCTCGATTAATCGTATCTCCTCTTACAAAATTGTCCATTTTTGCGGTAGCATCGATTAGGGTGAATTTACTGTACCGAGAGCGTTTTCTCCGAAAATTTTGATTACGAATCGAGGACTTGAATCATGGGGAGAATGAACAGTACATTCGATTCTCTTATCACGTGTGTTATATTCTTATTTNGCTCTCTCTTCTCTATCTCTCCGCTCTCTACGCTCTCTTTTCTCTCTCTCTCTCCCTCTCTCTCTGTCTCTCTCTACGCTCTCTCTCCTCTGTCTCTCCGCTCTCTCGTCTCTCACCTTCTTTTTTCATCCTCCGTTCCCGATTCTTTAATCTTTTAATTGCACCGGACGTCCGCCGCGACGCGCTCAAATTGGACGACGGACGTTCTCCAACGGCTGTTGCACCACTTGCGCAAAAGTCTGCACTCGCGTGGATCGGGGCGACGCGATTTTCGTTTCGGCCCTCCCGGTTGACGTCCTTTCGGTTCCCACAGTTTAGGTTCCGAATAGGAGCATCGGCGGGGTAATGAACCGCGTGGAAATCCTCTCCAGACAATGCCTGTGACGTCCGTCCCTGCCTTCTTGCGGGCCGGGCTCGCTTCCTGAAGAAGGGAACCCGGCTACTAAAAATAGGAGGCGACTGCTTTAACACGTGCGCCGCACCGATCCTCTAACGACCCCGGATCAGTCTGTTCCCAATGGGTCGCCCTCGTGTCGCAGAGGTGTTTTTGCCAGACAACGCGATGGAAATTCCGTGTCCTCTAGGCGAATGAACGGGGCCTTCGATTTCACCTTATTCGCTCGAATCGAGCAATTTTCGAAAGAACAAGGAGCCACGAGGATTTCTCGAAGTACAGCGAATTCTTCCTAATTGACCGCCTCGGCTTGGAAAGAGAAATTGGCAATGTCGGAAGAGGATTATTATACGATCATTCGAGCCTTGCGGCTCGTTTTTATAGTTGTTGATAATCGGTAGCTATAAAAACGAGGCTCGGAAAAGGGCTCGATTAATCGTATCTCCTCTTACAAAATTGTCCATTTTTGCGGTAGCATCGATTAGGGTGAATTTACTGTACCGAGAGCGTTTTCTCCGAAAATTTTGATTACGAATCGAGGACTTGAATCATGGGGAGAATGAACAGTACATTCGATTCTCTTATCACGTGTGTTATATTCTTATTTTTTATCTTTCATTTTACATGGTCAACGTGAGACGCCTAATTAGTATTAATTGCTTACCTATTATCTGTCTCTGTAATCTCGGTCGAAAACGATCACAGCGATATCCGGTGCTGTGCGCGCACAAAGCGTCTTGATCGACGACCATAAACAGCGAGTATCGCGAGATCGGCACGCGGAACCATAAGCGACTAATTAAGATCGAATCGCGTACTGACCGGTGCGTCGAAGCCGATGAAAAAGCGCGGTTATAACTTAATTTTCCCGGCGCGGAGGCAGAAGGTGAAACGGCGCGCTCGCTCGATCCCAAAAAAGGCAGGCCGCCTCGCGAAGATTTATCGATCCCAGTCGCGGACGTGGACGGACCGCGCGATCCGCTCGTCGCGAAGAAATCGAAATTTATGATCGGTTTCACGGCGCGGCCTGCCGTTGTGTGCGCGCACGTGTGTACAGGCCTGTTGTTGTTTGCTGCGCGTTACATGCGCTTGTTGTGTCGGCTAGAAACGTCGCGGTAAACAATGGCGGCCTGTACGTGACCGACGGCGCCGATCGTTGGGACTTTCTCGGTCGATCGATTCAAAATCGCCGACAGGCGACTGGGCGACTCTGATGATTCTCACCGTGCGTTTTTTTCTTTCTCTGTTGCAGACGTGGTTCTTCACCGACCGGGACGATCCGTACTTCCAGAACCAAACCAGTGAGTACAATTCTGATCTAATTGATCTGTAAATCTTAATCTGTATAGTTCAGCAAACGTGAAAGAACAATTGATCTCAATTTCTGTATTTTATTATCATCTTCCTAACTGTCATTTCCACTGTAGGCTTTCCTCGTGAATAACAGTGAAGGAATGAACGCGACAATGCCCGCCATTTGTACTGGTCGCCAGCGAGTCTCAGGGTCTATCTTAGTTCTCAAGGATCGCCAACGGTTTTTACTGTACCGAGGAGTAGGGCCCAAAGTCGCAGAAATTCGAAGAAGCAACCATTATTCGTCCGAAAGGGCCGCGGCGGAGCCTTCTCGGCCTAGTATTAATTAAATCGTCGTCGTTCTGTAATTCACGCGAGAGAGACCGAAGACCAGAAGGCGCGCGCGCACGTAATTTTTCTAATAGCGAGTTTACTGTACCGAGGAGTAGGGCCCAAAGTCGCAGAAATTCGAAGAAGCAACCATTATTCGTCCGAAAGGGCCGCGGCGGAGCCTTCTCGGCCTAGTATTAATTAAATCGTCGTCGTTCTGTAATTCACGCGAGAGAGACCGGAGATCAGAAGACGCGCGCGCGCGCGTAATTTTTCTAATAGTGAGAAACTCGGGCCGGGCAGAGACCCACGATCGTTACCTCGAGCTCTCCCGGAGAGGGGAAGCTCGTTAATTAAGGAAGTAATTAAGACCGGGGCCGAAAACTGTCGTCGTTCTGATCTCCGTTGAACCGTTTCTTGAAAAACTCCTGGACGGGGACTGTCTCGTTAACCTTTCGACTCGCGGACCGCGATCAAGAATCAACTCTCTTCGCAGCAAATTCTGTTCAGTTTTATCGTTTCGAAGAAGTTGAGAGAAGTGAAATTGAATCCGGTACAAGACGTACTTAATATGAAAGGCGAGTCGTGTTTAATCGAATTAGGTGACCGCCGGTCGAACGAATCGAGACGAAGCCGCGGAACGGGAGGAGAAGTAGGCGTTGCAAAATGAACGACGAGTTAAATCGTTTTCGCCGGTTAACAAGTTAGCGCGTAGCGGACCAAGTAGATCGATTATCGTTTGTTCAGCCACCGAGGTATCAGGCCGGAGAGCCGTCCGGTCCGAAGGCCGTGGCTTTCAGTCGCTCCCAGGTAAACGTTCCCCGGTTAAATGGCTCTATTAAAAAAGAAACGTTGCAGCGAGAGGAGCGTTTATTTCTGTTGTAATACGAGGCACGGATAATTACGCTGCCGGGACTTAATGGTTGCCCTCGTTTATGCGATAATTGCCGGCGAAACGAGCGCGCGCGTGTAGGAGAGCGCGGTCGCTCCGTCTCCTTTCCGCGCCGCTCGTCGATCATTTTCAAAGTTTCAAACCGCGTCCGGCTATGCTCGGCCACCGAAACAATACACCCCCTTTCGCAACCGCGATCCCCGTCGCGCTCCTCCGCCGGCTACGATTTCGTCGAAATCGCGAATCTCTCGAATCCGCGCGCGGCCGGCCGACCTCGAGGCTCGTTCGAGGATCGATCGGACGGCTTCGCGGGCGAAATTCGAGCGGTTCGGAGCCGTTATCGTAACCCGAGCCGATGGAATCCGCCGGTTACGGTTACGGCGACGCGCTGTCGCCGTCGAATAATCGCCAGATAAACACTACGTGCCTAATTGTCGCGTTTTCATCGGACGCTCGTCGCCGGACTTTCGACGCCTCGGCGGCGTTACGTCGCCGGTTCTCTCGAAACGAGCGCACCGACGGGGTTGATTATTACCGAGCCCGGTGAATTGGTATTCCCGGCGATGGCGCGGAATGACCGGGCCGGTCCGGGCCGGGCCGTTTCGGAAATTCGTGGCCCCGCGGAGTCATGCGAGCGCTTGGTAGCACGCCGACGGAATATCCACGGCTATAAAAATGGCAACTGAGGATTCTCCTCGGCAATATTATCGTCGAGCGTGCTCCTGGCATCGCGCGCATACTAACAGCACCCTCCGGCGCGGATGCAAATGACGACGAGGCCGAGCGGCCGGCGGAGGAGCAGGGGGGAGGGTCCCGGCACCGACTGCCCAAGGAATGGCGAAACGCCCGCGGATTTTGTATTCGATGGGGAACGCGTGCAATCCTCGATCCTCCGCTCGCTACTTCTGATCGTACATTCTTCGAAAATATCATGATTCCAAGTGCACCGCGCTGCAAGTATTTCAACTGCGGATAGATCCAACTGGGTCAAGCGACAGCCCGGCTAGGCTCGACTTAAGTCGATTAGGAACCAAGTTCGTGTAGTAATGTCCTGACAAAGTTTAGCGAAGAGTAATCTGATTAATGAGTAATGATTATAACTCGTTATTAACATATAAGTAATATATATTTATATATTATTTATATAATTATATATTAATATATTTATTGATATATATATATTATATATATTATAATATAGTACAATATATAATATAATTATATATATAATAAATTATAAATTAGTTATAATAACCGAGTTGTAACTGATCTATGACAATATGTAACAGTTAACGAGTTATTAGTTTATGTTACTTATTAGATTACTTTCTGCCCAACTCTGTGTCGAGATTATGTTATTTATATTATAAAAATTGAAGCAAATTCTCTTTGACGACTGTGTTCAACGGCGACTGGATCGCGTTGAACTAGTTCAAGTTTTCAACCACTTCTAACTAGGTTACCAAGTCTGGAGAAGGATAGGTTCATCCAGGATCAATTATACCAGGAAATTGTGTATCGAATCGAATCGACGTCATTTCCTTCAACTATTTCCAACTGTGCTTAACTAGGTCGAACTAGCTATAGCTCTAGGCACGACTTGAAGTTCGATTAGATCCGAGTCCCCAGTCACTATTTCAAACTTCAAACTAGGTTCGATCGAGTCTAGACAAGTCTGTCTACTGACTCGAATCATGTTCAATCGGACCTAAGTCCTCGTAGGTCCAACTACGTTCACGAATGGGTCGTTATCACGAATTTTATATAATATTTATTCGCAAACAGTGCTATCAAAAATAACAGTTCGAAATAAATTATTTCAAACGTAGTTATTATTATTATTTTTTTCGAACGAGATTTACCCTGGTCTGAATCCAATTAGACTTCACGGAGACCGATCGCTGCAGGTCCCTAATTCAGTGAACGAAACACTTCGTGGAGCTTCTAGGAGCTATTGTTCGCCGGATTCACGAGCCAACCGTGGATACGAAACGACGCCGTTTAGGAACGTTAACAAGAAGAATTTGTTGCTGTCGCGGATGACTATCCCCTCCGGCGATCATTTGGTATTTCCCTCGTAACACGGCGCGCCAGTTAGCCCCGTAGCAGAAGCGTGGGTGGACTCGAGCCAACAGGGAGGATAATGGCACGGAAGGACGAAGGAGGAGGGATGAGCACGCGAGCCCTCGGGCACCGTCCGACATTTGACCTCACCACGCGCTCTGCACCGGTTTTGCACCTCCACCTCGATCGCTTCTACCTGCCTCGCATATCATCCACCCTTCGTTCGTCCGACTAGATAGCGATGCTACGTAGAAACACAACGATTACGCCAGCTCCCGACGAAGACATTAAGTTGAACGATTCGCGGAGAATCTCCGGAGAGATCGATTAACCATTTCTGTCGTCCGACAGAATTTTGAAAGACTCGATCCGTTCGATTTTCGTCGTCGCAATTTTCATACTTAACGTGCGACACCTTGAAGAGCCACCTAAAGAACTACCAAGCCAGTCAAAATGGCTGATCTCCAAAAGTATCTCTCGATGCTTTTCTTTCATCGTTCTCGATGTTATCAAAATATATTTCTAGGAGAAATTTTTAGGTACACTTCTCTATCGAAGTATACAGAATGTCCGAAAATTATGATACTTCTGGGAAATGGAGGATTCCTGAGGTCATTTCAAGTAACTTTTTCCTTAGCGAAAATGCAGTCCGCGGCTTCGTTTACGAGTTATTAAGGAAAAACGTGGACCAATCGGCGAGCGAGAACGGCCGACGCTCCGACCTTGCTGCTAATGCCGCGTCGCGTCGGCCGTCTAACGCAGCGGCAGTGGTTGCGAGGGTGGGCCGTCAGCCGTATCTAATCTCTCATTGGTCAGTGTTTTTCGTTGATAACTCGTAAACCAAGCCGCGGACAGCATTTTCGCTAAGGAAAAAGTTACTTAAAATGATCTCAGGAATCTCTCAGCCACATCTCTTCTGCTATCATAATTTTAAGACACCCGGACTTCTGCATAATAAATGTCCACGGTCCGGCTGCATTGTTTCCCCGTTGAATGCCAAACCATGCGCGCGCGAGCAATCAGCAACGACTATAAAAAAAACACAGCGTTTCTAGAACAGAACGAAGGCTCGGCGATTGTCGCGAGTGAAAGGAGGCTCGTCCGATGGCCGAGGTTCGCCGTAACAAGGTTTTTAATTGCGGGCAGCCCGATTAATTGCCGGGCATTGTTCGCGGGCGTAATTGAAGCGCGTGGCAGAGCCCCGGGAACAGAAACGGCGTATCGTGGGAGTGCTTCGGCGCAGGTATACAACGGGTATCGCGATGATCGTCCAAGTGGGCCGGCTTGTACACACACTGTACAAGCCCGGCTCGAAACAACATCGCATCGGCGTGGCTCCTTCAGGAGCGAGAGGCCATCGAGCCGAATTAATTAAGGCCCCTGCGCCGGCGCGACCCCCGGCAGGATGATTATTAACCTCTTAATTAATTGCACGCCAATCCCACCTCCGCTGATATCGTCCCGTCTCTTCTTTGCTTTCAGACGGCCACATGATCAACACCAAGTGCTCCTCCTCGCACAACAGGCGAGCACTCTGCTGCAAAATGTCCGTCGAGTTCGACAGGTTCCTCGACAGCGGCCGGAAGTGAGTAGACATTCTCTCTCTTCAGTCCTCTCTTGGATCGCGATCCTTCGCTTCGCTGTTATAATTAACCCGCTGCACCGTAATTTACCGCTAGACCGACGCCCCGACGGACCAGTTATGTATCGCGCGGCCTTTCGTCTCGGCAATTAATCTACGAACACAGTATATTCTCCGTAATTCTCCTTTCAGCTTCTAAACAAAGGTGCATAATTTTGGGAACAGGCGATACGATTGTTCGAGCCTCGAGGGCTTGTTTTTCTTTTTTTAATCGTTGACGCGCCAGGCAACCATGAAAATGATCCCGGATCGTTCATTTTTGTTTGCAAGCCGAGGGAAGATTAGGCAGAATTTATTGTAGTCGGAAATCAATTCTCGAACATTGCCACATGACCACTGGGTAATAAAGCTGGCACGATAATTACTGGTCCGCGCGATGCGTTAATCAGCGTGCGAACGTTATTTGAACGATCCTTCGCACTTTTTTCTCGTACAACTGTCCACGATATCGAGCGTTTTCTTATTTCATCGTGTGCCGAAATATTATTAGGCCCAGCGGAACTGGGCCATGTTCAACGTTTTGGTAAATGTTACCTGCTCGGCCAAAGATTGACAATAGCCTATAAGAGTATTAATATTAATATTTATTTTTTTATATTAATATTTAATATTATATATATTATTATATTATCTATCTATCTATATATATATATATAATATTAATAATAAATATATAATATATAATATATATCTATATATAAAATCTATATATATGATATCTATATATAATAATAATAATAATAATGATATAATATAAAAATAAATAATATAATAATTTTCTATAAGAAAAAATGTCTCGAGCGACAATCGTAGAATATTCGAAACAAATCTTTTTCTATATTCTATCGAATCCTCTTTATCGAGATACCAGGGCAGCTTCGAATTTTTTAACGAGAAATCGATATTGTTTTAAACGTTTGAACGCTTCGATTACCGCGCATTCTCGATAACACGTCTGGTTGGACGAATCAAGGAAGCTCGAAGTGCGCGTAAAACGGATCGATGGAAATTTGAATTAAGACCGGTTGGAGGCTCACGGTCCATTGATACCGCGGGCACAGGTTCGAAAAAGGGAGCAACGACTTCCGGCGCTGAGAGCCTCGGAGGAGGGTCGGCGGTGAATCGATTCACGGTGGAACGACCTCGATAAATTATTCCGCGAGAGAGCCATTCAAGAAGGCGACCGCTTGCAGTGTTTAGCACCCGGCGCGGCCGAGCGCCGCATAAATCGCGGATTTTTCGCAACCGGCCGGAGGAAACGGGACGCTCGTCACGATCCTCTCGGGCCCCTGAATTGGCCAGGCCGCGCTTCGAGGTATTTATTTGCGCGCGGCGCTCCGGTAAATACATGGAAACCGTGCCGCAGCGCGATCCTCCGAGCGGAAATATAAATTTTCCCCGGGAACGAGTGGCTGACGAGAGGCCGAGAGAAAGGGGGAGAGAGGGAGGAAGCGAGAGAGAGAGAGAGAGAGAGAGAGAGAGAGAGAGAGAGAGAGACGCTGACGGAAAGACGTCAACGACGATTCAACCTGTTGCGTCGTGCTCCGATCGGAGTGTCGGGGCTAATTAACCGGGCGATCCTTAATTAACGACCAGTTCGAGACGGAGACTCGACTACCGAAACAGCTCCGGCTTCCCCGAACTGGTCCTCCGGTGATTTAGAACCTATCGTCTCCTCGCAGTCAATAGTAAATTACGACGCCGCCTGTTTAATATTGTTTGCGCTACTTTCGCCATTCGGCAATAATTTTCTTTTTTATAAATGTTCTCGCACGACACAGCGGGTGGGAAACTGAAAACTCGAGAAAGCTATGAATCGAACTGTCTTGGAATATGTTGGAAAATTTGTATGGTCAATGAATTGAAACAACCATGAAGAAAGCAATTGAAAAGCAATTGCCTTTTGCAACCGTCGCGGTAAGCTTGATTTACAATTCTGTCCAATCGGCGTTAACATTAAAAACGTATCGAGGTCTAAAAATATGTCTGAAATGTATCGCCTTTTTTAAAAACTACAAGACTAAATATATTAAAAATTTTTCATAGTTTTTATAACAGCGTGTGCTTGAATATAAAAATGCATACACTGGGTGTCCCGTAATTATGTTAACACCCGGAAAGGGGTGATTCCTGAGCGTAACTTTTTATTTAGCAAAAATGCAATCCGCGGCTTCGTTTACGAGTTATCAACGCTGATTGGCTCGGCCGGCTCGCCTCTAATTGGTCACTGTTTCTCGTTAATAATTCGTAAACGAAGCCGCGGGTTGCATTTTTGCTAAATGAAAAGTTACGCACAGGAATCACCCCTTTCCGGGTGTTAACATAATTACGGGGCACCCAGTGTATGCATTTTTTTTATTCAAGTACGCACTGTTGTAAAAGTTATGAAAAATTATAAACAGATTTAATCTTGTAATTTTCTTTAATGCATTTTCGCATTGTCGCCCGGGCGACTGTGCGCCGCAGGACAAGTTTATCAGATCGCGTCTCGTCTTTCGGAGTCGACACCGGACCTCGGGCAGACGCGGCTCGTCCGTAATGCCCTCGATATCGAACCCGATGGGCCATCGATCTCGCGCGAATCGATACGCGGCCCGTTAGGGCGGGCGTTTAGGCCCGCTCCGACGAGCGGGGACCGCGAAAGGTAGGACGACGATGAGGCTTCTGGACGAAAACGAAGGCGAAAGAGAATACGCGGGCCTCGTCCGATTCCAGAGTGGGGAAGGAGGGCTACCGGGTCCCATTATCGGCCGCGAGTTATTATACGGTTCTTTCTGTATCGGGGAGCCGACAGGAAGATTCCTATCTAAAATGTTCTCTCTTTAATTGTTTGCTTTTCAAAGCGGTCCTCCTCGTTCCGTGTCGCCGCGCCTAATGCGCCGCGACGCCGACCGTGGAATTTATTTTTTCCACGGTTTTCTGGTTCTTCTCGGCTGCACGTGGGTCCCAGACTGCTTCTGGATTTTCCACGTCGGTTCGTCGCGCCGGTGAGCTGCTCTTTCGACGGGTCTTTTCGTAAAACTGCAGCGAAGTGGCCAACATTAGGATTTGTAATCGCAAAATAGCGCAATCGATCATCGTTTTTAATGGTTGACTGCCGAATAGATTAAATGTCTCTCAAACTAGCTATTGCTATTTGTAACAAACACGAAACCTGTCGTTTGTTTTAAGGCTGCTGAAATTCCAAAGACGCTTTCGTGATCGAACAAATTACCGAATTCGAGCGTTTCATTATCATAAAAATTGCGCGAGTTCTATACAAACACGGCTTGTTTATTGTCGCAAAGCGGCATACAGTAATGTCTCCCTAACTGACGCTCAGATTTTCCACTAAAATGGATAATTTGGGAAGAGGAGATTATTCGATTATTCGGGCTTTGCGGCTCGTTTTTATAATTGTGGACAATTTATAACTATAAACCGCAAAAGGCTCGAATATTATTATTATACGAATTGCAACGAGATTGCAACTGCTATTAATATATATATATATATATATATATATATATAATAATATATAATGCTAATAATAATATAATAATGCTAATAATATATATATATCTCCTCTTCCTAAATTGTCCATTTTCGTGGACAATCCGAGCGTCAATTAGAGAGGCATTACTGAACTTAATTATTTTTAAGGAAGGTTCAATCTCCGTGCGTGTAAGTCTTGCTCCCTAATTTTCCACCGAAAGCAACGTTCATAGCTGCAACGATTTAAGGTCGGACTGCAGTTAATAATTCATATTTGGCGCATGAAATTTCTATCAGCACGCAAGCCATCCTTTATTTCCCAGAGACCCGGAGGGCTCTTGCAACCCCTGAAACGCTTGTCGCGAGGCCGTTCGGCCCCCGCTTCCGCCGCTGAAAGTCTCATTCGTAATCCCCGAAGGCCTTTTTTTCTTCGTCAGCCTCTCCTCCGCCCCTTGATGGCTGTTTACAATTCACTCGCGCAATCTACATGTTTAAGTAAAACGAGACGGCGAGTCCCCTAAATTCGTCCGGCAGCTTGCGGGCCACTCGGGTTCCCCGAGTCCTCGAGAAAATCGGGCGAGTAAGGCCCTTCAAAGCGGCTACTTGTTTGCAAATCAGACATCATTAACGCGTCCCCGGAGCCGTCGGGGACCGTCGTGTTTGGATAGGCCGCCCCCGTTGCTCCCGGATCGCGGCCTGAAAATATTATGTCTGCCGGAGCGGCGCCTAGAAAAACAACCCCCCTAATGGCCGGCGTCGTCGTCGACGTGGACCGATTATCGACGTTTCCCTCTCGTTGCCTTCGGGAACCGTCTTCCCCTGTTCGTCGCCACGCCTCTTTAACGCCGGAAAATTCACCGGACGCGTTCCCTCGCACGTTTTCCAGCCTAGACAAATTCCAGCCCGAGACAATCTGCTTCCACGCTGTCGAAAGTATTTTTCTATGAATTTTTCTCTCTATCCATCTATCTTTCTTCTATGAATTCTTAGACCATCCTTCGCCCGAATATGTTTTTTCTACCGCAAAACGTCGACGAAACTTTCCGTCGCTCTGTCATCGTCGCGCGAAACGACGATTCTTACGAATCGAACTATCGTTGTTCCAGCGAACGCAGCTCGCAAAATGGTCGCGGAGTGAAGGAACACACGAATCTTGACACGTTAAGGAACGCGACGACAAAGAAAGCGACGAGAAAGTTTCGCGAACGTTTCACGTTGCGCGATCGAATCGCCGAAAATCGTGCTTGTTTCAACGGTTGATCCGCGGCTCGTTTCTCAAGCTTCCGAAAAACATGCTCGCGAATCCTTCTTCCGCGACCAGTCGAAAGTCGTAGGATCGGTCGGTTCGAAATCGTGCTCCTTCCGGAGTACAAGATGCTCGACACATCGGGCGAGGGGTTAAAGACAAGGGGAAAAAGGAACGGGTTTAAAAAGACGCGCGCGATCCTGGCCGCGGAGGAGGGCGGGGGAATGGGCCGGCGAACAAGAGGAAGAGGATCCTGTACGAGCGAAGCCCGCATGCGACATCCGAGACACTCCCTTTCGCCCTGCCGTCTACTATTCCGGCTCGTCCTCAGAAAAGGCCAGAGAAAGGAGATTGAATCGTCTCCTCTCGGGCCAGCTGGTCCTATCCTCTCTCTCTTTCTCTCTCTCTTTCTCTCTCTCTCTCTCTGCCTCGCGCACACACGCTCCCTCTCCCTCTCTTTCTTCGCTTAATCTCTGGCCGTGTCCCGATCCTCACGACGCACCACCGAGGGCTGTGCTTCGTCCTTCGGAACCTCGGACCTCCTCGGGCTCTCCTCTCGTATTATAGACTTTTCTGAAGCCGGACAAAAGGATTCCCCTCGTGCACGTGCAACCGCCAATCCCTCGAGACTCGTCGAAGGGACACGTGTTCCTCGGACGGGCCCTTCGGACCGCGAGCAATTAACCGGCCGCCGGAATGATTACCGATCGATTTTTATGCGATCGGTAATAATTCGCGCCGTTCGATCAAACTCGATCGATTCGCCGAACTGCATTTAGGGATACAGTAATGTCTCTCTTACTGACGCTCAGATTGTCCACAAAAATGGACAATTTGGGGGGAGGAGATACGATTGTTCGAGCCTTGAAATTCGTTTTTACAGTTGTTGACAATCGATGGCCATAAAAATCGAGCCACAAGGCTCGAACAATATCGTATCTCCTTTCCCAAAATTGTCCATTTTTGTGGACAATCTCAGCGTCAATTAGGGAGACATTACCATATTAGAGTCCCTGGAGCAGCGACGCCGCGAACCTTTTTCAGAAGTCGCTCGAATTTTGTTCATTATTTTTTCGGCACCATAGTCACCGCTGCGCCGAGTCGGCGGCGTCACTCGCGAAGGGGAAGGGGAGGAGGGTTGAAAAGTACCTTTTTATCTTTTATTTATCCTTTAAAATCCTCCGAAAATGTTGCGTTTGCCAGCGGGCCCAGAATATCCTCCTTGCGGATAGGATGCGCAACTATGTTTCTGTCGATTCCTCGGGGCCACCATTCTTCCACGGTTTTGTTGCCGGTCATTCCGCGCACATAAAGCCGTTTTTACACGTGACGATCGCGGTCGCGTGACCAGAATCGACGAGCCAACACGCGACGACCGGGTACGCGACCAGAAACGTAATAATACGACGCGTATCTCTGCTCCCCCCTATCAATTTGTCCGGTGTCCGTTCGATTCGGCGGACGGTGTCTCGTCAACTTTTACAACGATGCCGAAGCGATCCATCCGACCAACCCCCGCGAATTGAAACGAACCTAAACGTCGCTCGCGAATGACGGCGATCGTAGAGACGTGTACAGTAAATTCTCCCGAATCGACGCTCGAATTGTGCAGAAAAATGGGGAATTAGTTTGAGAAGGGAGAATGGGATTTTTCGAGCCTTGCGGCTCGTTTTTATTTTGTTATTTATATATTTATATTATTATTATAATATATAATTTACATTTATATTATATTTATATATTATATTATATTATATTATATTATATTATATTATATTATATTATAGTTGTTTATTTTATGGTTATAATCGGCAACTATAAAAACGAGCCGTAAGGCTCGCGCAGTATTTCAGTCATTGTACGATAAACCAGTCTCTCTAACATTAAAAAAAAAAAAGAACACTCGAGTCATTTAAACGAGATCGCAAGAATGCGTCGCGGTGCATAAAGATTGAAAAGGCAAAAAGGGGAGACATCATTTCGCACGTCATCGGTCGTACGATAAATGGTTAAGAACAGAAGCGATAGACGTCGCGATTACGTACGTCTAAAACAGTAATAAATATTGAAATCGTGGAACGTCGCGGAATACGGCAATTTCTCCCTAATTCGCGCTCGGATCGCGCGCAAGAATGGACAATTTGGGAAGTGGAGATACGATTATTCGAGCCTTTTGCGGCTCGACAATTTATATTTTAATATTTTAATTACTTAATTTTATTTTAATATTTTTATATATAATATTGTGGACAATTTATAACTATACAAATAAACCGCAAGGCTCGAATAATCGTAGTCTCCTCTTCCTAAGTTGTCCATTTTTGTGCGCGATCCGGGCGTCAATTAGAGAGACATTACTGTATCGCTTAGATAATCGGTGAAACCAGTTGAATACGCGAGTTCTTTCATTTTTTTGTTATCTAGCAGGCTAGACACTTTCTCCTGCCATCTAAAACGTTCCAAAATCAAAACGTTTAGTTCGCTACGTGGAAAATGAGGAAACTAATTATTATCGAAGTACGTATTTCATGGTCGCAACGCTGAAAGGTAGATACGGAAGATACATAAGAATGAACTAATTAGCAGCGCGGATTTTTCCCAAGGTAGACCATTTTTCCACAAGTTTTCCACTAGTTTTCGACCGACCCAATATTTACAATTAGCGTACGTCCAACAGCCTGGCTTCAAAACATTTCTTAGCGAGAGTAAACGTTGATACTTTTGCTGCACCGAAAATGACACAATAGTGACAATATACGTTCTGTACGAAAAAATAAATGTTTTACGATATGCGACATGTAATCATGTAAGTTTTGGCCCGAATAGAAGACCACGCGTCTCACACGTAGCCGTAGGTTAAGAGGTTGAATGTACGAACGTTATTCGGTTCGGATTAAAATTCTACTCTTTCCTCGTCGGCATTCAAGCGCAGTTAAGCGCACGTTGTGCCTTTTTCCTATCCGTTTTCTTCGACGAGAGAAAGTAAAAACTAAAAACGAAAGAAGCTATATATATATAAACGATCGCTAAAAAGCGATCCGCGCGATCGCGAAGAAAACAGATTTACGAACGAGGGATTTAACGTTCGACGAGGAAGTTTTCCATCGTGTTTTGCGCAAGAGTGAACAAAAACCGGATGTAATTATTCGATTAATTATGAGTAATTCTGTCGTTCTTGTCGTGGCTGACAATCCGCGACTCTGCAAGAAACGCGTGCCGCGATTCTTCGTTGGTCGGTTTTTTTCTGTACAGCGATCGCGAGTCGCCTGACCCGAAGAACACAGGTGAAGTGCGTGGTTTAAATACGAGCAAATTGAAATTAGTCCGACGATCGGCGACAAGTTTCGTAATTATGCGGACGTGACGTGGAAAGTGGGATATACAAGTATTATCGACCTGGAGTCACAGAACGAACAAACGACTTCTATCATTGAATTAACATTTCCACGATGATGGAAAATAGGCAAGTCACGATACATTTTATGAATATGGAATTGATTTCATGGATATATACCACTGACCGAGGCTGAAACCCTGTCCTTTAACTTCCCGAATCGGTCGGGGACATCCACTCGTCGTCGTCGTCGTTGCCCGCGAGTTCCGCAATTTTTACCGAAAGTCTACGATATACTGATACGTGTTGTGCGTTCCTTTATTTTGCACCGTCGACGAGCACCGACCGACGAATTGTTTCGCGAAAATGGCCACCGAAACGAGCCAAGAGCAGGACCTCCAAAAGCACAAGGAGAACGGCGAGGTCACGTACGAGGTTAGAGAACTCATAGAAGGGGCGCCCTATGGCACCGACATGACCTACAAGCACAAAGTGTTGTGGCGTATCGTCGCCCTTTACGTTTGGTTCCACACCGGGTGGGTGATCGGCGCCTACACCGCGTTTTTCCATGCCAAATGGGCTACTTTGGCCTGGGGTGAGTGTCGTTCTCTACCTGGCGTAGCATCGTTTGTCTCGCAAACGCGGCGTTATTTCATCGAAATATCGTCGCAATGAGATATTTGTTCATCGACATATTTTTATTCGAATGCATACAGTGGCCCGCAAAAGTTTTCGTACACCATTTAGAACGCAATAACTTTTTCGAAACTGCACCGAATCACTTGAAAATTTTCTTTTTTAAAATGATACAGGGAGTAGTTTACTAGACGATCGCTAAAAAGCGTTTGTTTTTTAATTTTGCTATTACTTGGAATGAAAAGAAAAAAGAAAGAGAAACCCTCGTATTTTAATTTGTTTTATTAGACGCGTGTAAAACGTTATAATTATTGGGCATAAATGTATGATTTGAATATGATTTTTACCGCATTTTCGAGGTATTTCGAGTAATTTCTCCCGGAAATGTTCGGAGATCGGAATTGAAACAGATCCGAGAATATTAAGTCGACGATACTTCGGGCATCGCGGCTCGTTTTTACGAAAACTCGCGGCAAAAGGCAAAAGAAAGGCGGCGGATATAATGCTAGAATAAAAACGTTGACTTGACTCTTGCATTTCTAATTTTTTGCCGCGATTCGGCAATTCGGAGGTAATTCGGAAGCCACGGGACACGATTGGAAGGCAATTCGGAGGCCACGTGACACGATTCGAAGGCATTTCGGAGGCCACGCGGAATGATTCGAAGACGATTCGCATAACTTGGTACAGCAAATTCTCTCTAATTCGCGCTCAGATCGCGATGCTAGAATGATCGTGTCTCCTCTTCCGAAATTGTTCCCATTTTCTTGCACAATCTCAGCGCGAATTAGGGAGAATTTACTGCACCCACCACGCGCACCTTCAGCATCGCGATTATTCTTCTCTGATCACGCTCGAACAGACCGTAGCGATAAATTACACAGAATACCACCGCTGGGAAATTCACGGTAACCCGAAATTTGGCATTTCCGGGAGAAATGACTAGCAAACGCGGTACACAGTGCACCGTCGAGAATCAGATTCGATTGAAAATTGAATGTCGCAGCGTTCGTCTGGCTAGTTGTCGCGCTCATCGGAGAAGGGATAGTCTCGCATCGGTATTACAGCCACAACGCTTTCAAAGCGACGCCACTTCTCAGGGTGATCCTCCTCTTCTGCCAGACCTTGTCCGGCCAGGTAAACGCCGCGGTCGCGGTTCGTTCGGATGCTGCGAAAGTACGAGCGGTTCGAAAGATATCGTAATTAATTTTAGAACAGCGCGTTGACATGGGCGAAGGACCACATCATGCACCACAAGTACAGCGACACGGACATGGATCCGCATAACTCGAATCGCGGATTCTTCTTCGCTCACGTGGGCTGGCTGATGATGGAGAAACACCCGATGCTGCTGCAGAAGGAGAGCGAGATGGACTTCTCCCGGTTCGAACAGGACAAACTGTTGATGTTCCAGCACAAGTGAATATCTACGAATTTTATCTACGAATTTATCCAGCGAGAGAACTCGAGGCCGACCGACTTCGCGAAGACGTTTCGTTTCCCCGAGACTTTTCGAGCCGTTTCGTTTCAGGTACTTTCTGCCCCTTTACCTCGTGTGCGCGATAATGATGCCCGTGTCGGCGGCGATGTACTTTTGGAACGAAACGTTCTGGAACGCTTTCTTCGCTGGTTACATGTTCCCATATGTGTTCGTCTTGCACGCGACTTGGTCTATCAATTCGTTCGCCCATACGATCGGCTCCCGGCCCTACGACACGTAAGTAAAAAATGAGTTCGATCGCCTGCTACGCGCCGTGTAAATTACATGTCTCTCTAATTGACGCTCGGATGGACACGAAAATGATTCGATGGCGTCGAATAAAGTTGTATTCTCTTTGCCGCATTCTTTCGGAAAAACCTGTATACGGTAAATTCTCCCCAATTTTCCGCCAGCTTGTGAACAAAAATGGACAATTTGGAGAGAGCTGATACGATTATTTTATAGTTGTATATTATATATATATATATATTATTTTATAATTGTTGGCAATCGGTGATTATAGAAACGAGCCGCGAGGCTCGAATAATCGTGTCTGCTTTCTCCGAATTGCCCCTTTCTGTGGACAAGTTAAGCATCAATTAGGAAGACATTACTGTATGCACATTTCGCCGACCTAATACCGTGGCGGAACAATAGACGGGAAGTTGCATAAGTATTATTCCTGACGATGAGCGGTGATTAATGGTAATCTGATGTCCAATTGATTTCGCGACAATAGCGCTTAGCTCGGTGTCTTAGCATAGACGTCCGGCAAATTATCGGCGAACCGATGTCAAACCGATTCCATAATTAATATCGGCAAGGCGATATTAATTGAACGGCGATCTCGCCGTCGCCGTTGCACTCCACGAAACCGGCCGAATTCTACCGCGTTTGATTGCTGCAGGAGGATCGCGGCGAGGGAGTCTTGGGTGACGATTCTGGCCACGCTCGGCGACGGATTCCACAATTTCCATCACGCTTTCCCGTGGGACTATCGCATGACGGACACGCCGTACAGCTTCTACGCGAAGCTGATCGATTTCTGGGAGTACCTCGGCCTGGCCTACGATCTCAGAATAGCGAAACCCTCGCTCGTTAGCCGCCACCAGAAGAGATACGGGGACGAGTCGCAAAGGTGGAAGGTGCTCGACCAAAGGGCGAAGTCACAGTGAAACGGAACCAACGGGACCACGATCCGAGCAGAACCGCGAGACATCGTCGACAATGACGATCAACGGATAAAGCGTCCCTTTATTTGTCAATCTTTTGTAACAGCTGCGAAACATCGGGCTCGGGGGTGCAATTTAAAGTATTCGGTGAAACGTAACCCTTTAGACTGATCTGTGATAGGGCGCGGATCTGTTGTCCGGTCTCACTTTATAGCGGGATCAGTTTTTACTAGACAATGACTCTGATACTTCGTTTGAATTCTGCTGTTGTTTGGAACGGTAAAAATGAAGGAATAATATAACTCCGTGTTTTCGACTTCGTCGTTTGAACCTGTAACGAAAATTTGACAGATGCGTCGCGATAGACGGGTCTCGGTAACTTGTGAGTATTGCAATGAATGCGTTTCGATACAAAATCTGGAAAAATGCATTTCTCAAATTTTCGTTGTAGACTTTGGACGCTTGCCGTTACAATTACGAGGGCATTATATACCGAATATTTTATTGTTTGTGTGTATAAAGTTATCTGTAAATCCTCACTTTCTCTCTCTCTCTCTCTCCTGCGCTTTCACACGTCTGCTCGGCGTTTTAGGAATCGTACGCCCTCTTCAGCGGTATCGAATCGGCTAAATTGTAAGCTGTAATCCTTTCCGCGTCACGCCAGGCTTCTTTAAACAATAGACACGGTTTAACAACGAACGCGACCTGCGTTCTTCTCTTTTTTTTTCACCGTTGCGTAATGTTCGTTTAAACAACGTGTTTGAAAAATCAACGTACTTAATAATCGTCTTGTCGCTTATTGTTTGTAAAATCGCAGTCTGTGCTTTACGTAAAACCGTTTTCCATCTCGATTATTTTAACATTTTAAGTTGTAAATCACGTAACATTCGAGGTTAAATTCACGGCAACGGTGACCCAATCCACGGCTCCGAATCCACGTCCATTAATTAATTCAAATGCGATCAGCGCCGACGATCAACCACCGAAATTCCCGCGAAGTCGCAAAATACAATTTAATTAATTTAACACTGAACCTACCAAGCAGTAATACTAACTGGCATATACTGCTTCGCAAAAGTGAGAAGTCCGAATTTATTTAGAATTTGTCTCGGAACTTTGCAGAATTGCGAAATAAGAAAGCGGTCGTTTCGACCGCTTTTTTGACATTAAGCGGTCATTTAAACCGAAACTAGGAAGTTAGATTAATTATTAAATTAAAATTAAATTAAATTAAATGAAATTAAATTAAAAGAATTCGTTACAATCCGCGCGGTCCGCTTGCGACATTCTTTTCGAACGAGTCCGAACCGGCCGAATTCGAGGGGCAGGGAGCGCGAAGATCGTCGAGCGGTGGCTGCCGTGGGCCCATTGTTGGCTGAATTTTAGATCGGTAACGACGATACCGATGATTTATAGCTGGAAGTTGTATCTGCCGGCGTGGCTGGCCCGTTTCGTAGCCGGTGAAAGGATCGGGCTCGCTCGGATGACGAGCGAGCGAGCGAGCGAGCGAACCGCCTCGCGTCGTTTCAGCTTGTCTTATCGGGGTCCGGGGCCCGGCCGGGCCCGCGGGTTTGTTCAACGATAGTCCCCTATCGTTCTGTTCAAATAACGCGCTCCGATCGCGTGCCTCTCCCTCAGATCTTCTCGTCTATCGCTGCGCAAACCTGTCGCGAACGCTTCGATCCTCCAGGAACCGCAAATGTTTATTCCGCCTCGGGACTGTTTAACCACGGGACGGTCCTAGAGCGCGCGCTTCTTATCATTCCTCACACAGCTCTCCAGATTTTTTTCTATCGTTTCTGCTATTTTTGGGCGGGGTCTGCGTACCTATAACGTTTCTTTTAGCACTTGGTTCTCCTTCATAGGACTCTGAAGAAAATTATTTACTTATATTATATATTATATATTATTATTATATATTCTATGTTATATATATTATTATATATATTATATATTATTATTATATATTCTATATTATATATATTATTATATATATTCTATATTATATATTATTATTATATATTATTATTATATATTCTATATTTCTGCATAAAAAAGCTGCTCGAAATTATTTTATCCGTTTATATTAGAACGAAAAGGACTTTGTACTTAACAACGGAGCAATGCAAAGTTTCGACGTAATTTTCAGTGTACGTACAAGTTACCTCGGATCTACAAATGTACGCATTTGTTCTTAAATGTTCGTTCCAGGATCAGATGAAAAGAAAAAACGCTAAAGAAAGCGAGACATTTTTATTTCTCCGTTATTCCAAGTAATAGCAACAAATTTGTTCGAACATCAATGCGAGCCGCTGCGGCTAGATCACGATCGCTGCAGCTAAGTTTGGACTGTGATGCAACGAGGTCTGAAACGAGCCAGTGTGTTCGAGGACGAATATAAGAACAAGGTTGAAATCGTCGGTTCGCGAAAGAAAGATCGCCGTAGATTTCCTATGTAGAACGACGGTTGATGAGCAACAGTGTCGCGGAGCAAGAACAGCGCCCGACAATTTATCGCAGCTGCGAGCGCATAAAAATCCGCCGAGTGAAATTAAGGATCGGATTAAGACGTCGAAGAGGCGACCGAGGGGGGCCCCGAGAAGTCGTCCTCGTCCTCTTCCCGTGGCCGTCTACGCAGATTCACGCGTGTCTAACCGATTCGTGGCGCGCACTTGTTCGGAGACGAACGGTGCGTGTCGCCATTTGCAGATCGGGCCGGTGCACTCTGCTCTCCCGTATGCACCGAAACTGGTTTGCACCTGATACCGGCTTCGTGATCGAATGACGCGTTTCAATGCGTCCTTCTCTCTCTCTCTCTCTCTCTCTGGCTCTCTCTCGCTCTCTCGCTCTTTGCCTCGGGCCCCCATGTCCCCGTGCCCTCGGCGAGGGGCCCCGTCGGTGCCACGGTTGTTCCACAGCGGTCGCTTATTTTTCTTCCACCGGTCCCCGCGCCGACGGTTGCTCCTTTTTCCACGTTCACAAAGATCAAGCTCACGCGAGATCCCCCCACGATTTATACTCGCGCGTTCCTCCTTTTCTTCTACCATTCTATTTTTTCGCCTCGCTTTTTCTTCTTTCTTTTGCTTCAATTCTTTTTTTCGGTACTTCATCCCCCTTTCTCTTCGCGAGCTCTTTTGCCGCCGCGCCGCGCCGATCTTCCCTTCCCAGATGTGAAAGAGCTTCGAAAAATTTGGCGGGAAAGCGGACACCGTTCATCGACGATTCGGCGAACTTTTGGATTTAAGGTTGCTGGGAACACAGTAGGGCCTGATTTGTAATCGTAGCTTTTTTATATAAGTAAGGGGAGAGACTAACGGTTCACGCAGGGCGCGTATAAATTCTGTACCTTGTTGAGAAACCCTCTCTTTCTTCTACAAATGTTCGGTGCTCAAATCTATTTGTCTTTTCGAATTCTTTACGGTTCGTTGCATCCGTTAGTATTGCTCATGTACGCGCGTTTCTATCTTCTTTCTTCTTCTTTTTTATCGAATTTTATTCGAAATTTATTAAATGAACGAAAATTGTGAAAAACGGTCTCCTGATTTTTCTTGTTTGCATGATTTCAGGAAATATTTTGAATATTTCGAATAAAATCTGATTCGACTATACTTCCCGTGCGTAAAGAGAAATCGTTTGGAGTCCTTCTTTCACAATTTTGGTATATTCACTGAATCTCGAATAAAATTTTATTCGAAATATTGTACGAACAACATTTAATTCGAAGAATTTATTCGAAATACTTGTCGAATAGAATTTTATTTGAAGAGTTCTTAGGAGTAGGACTGGCACAGCGAAATTCACAGCAGCCCGAAATTTGGCATTTCCGGGAGAAATTGCTGTAGTTTCTACGCAGTGTCCTCCGCGATTTTCACCGATTCCAATCACCCCAACCATTTTCTATTCAAATTTGCATCTTCTCTTCCTAAATCGTCTATTTTTGTTCAGAAGCCGAAGAGAAATTAGGGAGAATTTGCTATACCTTCCACGCACCTTGTAGCTCCGCGGTTTTTCTTACTTGACTCGCAATTTTCTGTTGTCTGGAATTCCAACGTGGCAATGAATTACATAGGCGTAGGTCTGGCATAGCGAAATTCACAGCAGCCCGAAATTTGGCATTTCCGGGAGAAATTGCCGTAGTTTCTACGCAGTCCTCCGCGATTTTCACCGATTCCAATTACCCCTATTCAATTTCGCATCTTCTCTTCCCAAATCGTCCATTTTTGTTCAGAAGTCGAAGAGAAATTAGGGAGAATTTGCTATACCTTCCACGCACCCAGAAACTTTTCGGTCGAAAGGGTTCCGTAAGAACGTTATTTGCCGGACTTGTCGGTTGAACGGGGGACCATCAGTTTCCAGGTTTTTCTCGCCGGTTGCTGAAGAGAGCTCGTAGAAGTCCTCGGAGGATGACGATGACTCGGGCGTCGACTCGCCGCAAGGAATACATTTTCCGCTGCGTTGATCCAGTCACTGTGCATTCCTCGGTTCGCCTTGCGCCGCGGCTCCCCGGGGGCTGAGACGCGGCGCCGATTCTCGATCGGTTTCGCGGAGCGTGTCGCAAACGATTTTGCGAAATCCCGGTACCGTAAACAAATCGCGGCATCAGCCTCGAATAGCTGCCGGTTTATGGCCCGCGGACGGTTAATGGCCGCGAAAGAAGCCGTTCGCGCGGTTCTACCTCGCGGCTCTCAGTTCCACGTTTTCGAGGAAAACAGGTTGTAGAACACGAGGCTGGCCGCGTCGTTATTATTTATCGTTATGTCGACAAGATAGACCGGCTCGGAGGTGGGACGGAATTAACTGTAAGCGCGCGCTCTTAGGGAGCCGGCGATTCTTTATTTCGCGCCGCCGCTTCCGTTCTCCGTGCTGGCCATTCGTTTCGAAATCGGACTCGTTCGACGTTACTTAATGGATCGAATAAATAAAGGGAATCTCTGTTAGTTTCTTCTTGAATTTTCTAGCAGAAAAGAACCGTTTAATATTTCTCGAAATTTCTTGTTTCATTGGAAAGAGGGAAGCTACCGATTTTATAATCATGAGAAATAATCTTTGGAATGGGGAATCGTTCTTATGGGGAATTGTCGAGGTCCGTTGTTATTCTAACGTTCCATAAACATTTCAATCACTCGTGGAAAACGAGACCATCGAGCTATTCGCGAAATAGAGCCACGAACGATCGAAAATATGTATCGACTGAGATTATTTTTGATAATTAATTGATAGGTTTACTATTTTTAAAATGAAGCAACCGTTTCACGAGAGAGAGAGAGAGAGAGAGAGAGAGAGAGAGAGAGAGAGAGAAATGAAATTAAAAAATCACGAAATATACGCAGAAAGACAAAATACAAAAAGGACTGCGCTATCAAGAAAAATTACAAATTTATTCCTTGACATTTTTTTAACGGAGCTTCTGGCGCAACGCAGAGTTCCAAAGCGGAGAAAAATACCGAGAGCCGGAAGGTTGGCGCTATCACGATACAAAATCATGTTCGCTGGATGTGTACATAGTTTGGAGGCAATGAAGCGTACGGCCGGCAGAACG